ACCACATTTTTTCCAGTTTTTTACTGTTTATTGTTGACCAAAACGCATTCTAAACTTTCGAGTCATGAAAGTATCCACCTTTGGCAAATCTAACAGCTGAACACACTCGTGGCTCATTCTTTTTACAATAGAAGTCAAATATTCTTCAGAAAGTTCTTCCCAAGTCTGTTGCAGAAGTTCCCATAAATGTGTCACACTTGGCTTTCAGTCTTCTGTCCAGTTCATCCCAAACCAGCTCGAGTTTAAGGGTTTAAGTCTGGAGACTGTGCTGGACACTCCATGTTTTCTAGCTCTCCATATTGTTCTTTTTTCCTGAGACAGTTTTGGCAGAGCTTGGACTTGTGTTTTGTTACCTTAGGCCGTTCAGTACTTACCTTTGCACCATTTCAAGCTCTTCATTGGACTTGCATGACTTGAACTGCAATAAATAACTGGAAAAATTAGGGTGCTCTAAAACTTTTGACTTGTAAGAGTATAGTATAATAAAAGTACAATAAGACCAGCTACAAAAACTGATTTAATGTATGTGATTACCCACCTCTGTTCAGGCTAACATGTAAAATGACTTCTCACATGGGCCTATAGGCAACGTGCGGAGGGAGGGGCTGACATCCCAGACAGGTTTCCACGGCAACAAGGTGCTCCTGCCGCCGTCGGGTCTCGGCCAAGTTGGGCGCCATGGCAACGGTGCGGGGACAAACTGTGGGACTTTCTCCTGCGAGGGACAAACTCACCACAACTTTAATGATGTGCTTTAAATTACACCCGCCTCAATTTGATCTTTAAAGTCGTTTATGGGTCGTTATGGCTCGACTAAACGCAATTTAACGTCGGCTCTGGCAAACGGGAAGTCCATTATTTACATTTTAAAATACTGGATGTCTTAGTGTTTTTGTGAATTGAAACCTTATTTAAAGTTATACACTGCAAAAAACAAAATCTAGCCAAGTTAAGATGACTTGAATTAAGAAAGTTTTATCATGATTTGAGTAAATTTCACCTGACGAATAAAATGATCTGCAAGTTGAATAAGACTTTTTGTACTTAAAATATGAAAATACATCTTGCTACACACAGCAATAACTTTTTGTGCTTAAAAATAAGAAACAAAATCAAATCTTGCTTGAATTAAGAAAAACACACTTATTCCATTGGTCGATCATTTTACTTGTCAAGTTGAATCTACTCAAATCAAGTAAAATGTTCTTAATTTAAGTCATTTTAACTTACCTAGATATTGTTTGTTTTTCTTCCAGTGTAGGTTATGATCATAATACAGGTGACCTATCTGTGTCCCTACATATGAGGTAGACATGTTTAAATCAAATATAACTTTTACTGTGATGGTAAAGTGGTTGATGTTTTCATTTGGCGATTTAGTTTTTGAAATGTTTATCCAATCAGAAAGCAGAAAGAGTCTCACATGATTATCTCATTTGGGTTGCCATTTTGAATGCTTAAATTCATTTGGCTTGAATCTAAAGGGGCTTTCTTTGATCGGAATAGTCTATCTGAACCCGAGCGCCATGCAGCCAGTGATTGATCGATGATAATGCAGCCTCCACAGCTCTTAAGGTTCTGCTTTCATGAGGCATCATTTTCAACAATGATCAAAACATGTGTCTTAGTGAGAACATTAGAGGGAACATTAGAGGGAACTCAGACTCAGTTGTGATTGTTTATTAATCCAGGAATAGTGCAGGTATACCGTAATTTAACATAGCAAAACGCCATTGTGGAAAAGTCCCCCTTGATGCCTTCTGCTGGTGCACTGTGACCTGAAGCCAGGAGTTCGTTACCTGTCATTAGCAAAGTACACAAGCTCTAAGGAAACAGCTTTTGGGTAATTCATGTCTCTTCACTTTAGTCATATTACTTCACTTAGACAATAGTAATTTGACATGGATGTATCTGATGACTTTGACACTTCATGAGAATAATCTTATTCTTATTCAGTCACCTCACATTAATGGTCCGATATTACAGAAAATGTATTTTTGTAAGCTCTATGCCATTTTGTAGAGTTGTCACCTCATCAAAAACAAACCAGGAGTTGTTGTTGTTGTTGTTGTTGTTGTTGTTGTTGTTGGTTGTTGGTGGTGGTGGTGGTGGTGGTGTTTTTTTCTGGATTATTAAGAGGTCTGCATCACCAAAGATCAAAATGACGTGCTCCACCTTGTGATGTCATGCAGCAGTAGTTTTCAAGTTAACACTTTCTGTTTACCTTTAGCTCAGTAAAGATAGGCAGTTCCAGAGCAGAAATTACCCAAATGATTCTAGTGAATGAAACAAAACAAAACTCCAACTTTTGATGAGGAAACAACATTATAACATAGATTAGTAAATAGTGTAATATGCAATCTTTAAGCGTGCATTTCACTGAACATAAGCAGTGCTGTTTTAAGAGTTCAAAAATCAAGTTTACCTCCAGAGACTTTGGTGACATGTAAACTGCAGAGGACAGGAGAGACAGGAGCCAGAGTCGGGGCGTCCTGCAGAGAGAGGTCACGACCCCTATCAGACTGTGTGTCAGTCTGACTATTGTGTCCCCGTACACACACACGCGCGCACACACGCACGCACGCACACACACTTACACACACATACACACAGAGCTGTAACTTACACCGCCGTCTCCACAGCAACAGGGCAGACCACTTTTTCACTCTCAAATCAAACTGCACTGTAAATACAGGGACAATTTGTATAAATGTATTGTTCTATATTTGGTACAGCAGACCTAATAAATAAATATAGCCTACTCAAAAATCGAGTTTTCTGTTTCTTAGGGAATTACTCACACTAAAACGATTTGATGTAAAGTAAGGACATTTTGTGTCAATATAAGCCTGCTAAAAAGGGTAAAACATTATAGCAGTAAGATAATGGCTGTAGACTCACCCTCACCTGTGCTTGCATTTTCCTCACTGCAGAAGTCTCATAAGCTATGGCGTGTGAAAGGGGTGATCTGAAGAATTTGGTGTAGAAAACAATCCATTAGAATTAATTAACCAACTTGGAGGGAGAAATGAGTCAAGAGGAACAAGCAAAACTAGTAGCTGGGCAAGGTTAGTATCTGCTGCCATCGTGTGGTCAGTCTGGAAATAACCAGTCACAGTTTGATTTGCTTAAACTTTCATTCACAGCTTTATTTGGAAATTACTTGTATCTCATCTAACAGTCTTTTTTAGTTAAAGGGAAATATTTCATGTGTACCATCTATTAATGAATATAGACAACGTGTGTTGTATTCAGAAAGTTTAAATGTTTTAGCCTGTTTTAGTGCAAACTAAGAGCGTGTGAACCATTAAAACAGTGTTTCCCAAACGGTTTTTCTGGGGACCCATATTTAAAAAGTCACAAACCTTCGCGATCCAAGTCAATAGACATTATTCATAAATCACAAAATAAAGGTGGATTTGACCAATATTGAACATTAATGAGGATATTTTATTGTTGACTGAGTGATCGTGTCTCTCTGAACAATTAGTATTACTCAAGGTTTAAACAATGAAAAACAGTCATTGAACCAGCAAAAAACTGATCCATATGTCGCCTATTTGGACATTAAATTTAGTCCATTTGTTTTTTCTTTTCAACATTCAATTGAACCAGCAATATTGGAACAAAACAGTCAATAAAATAATTACAAAAACATTAGAAATTATACAAAATATGTCTTAACATTTCAATATTTTTAATGAGATAGCTGGGCCTGTCTGCATTTTTGTAGTGTGTTCCAGTTTGGGGTGCAGAAGGAGAGCACAACACACAGATAAGGCGTGGCATTCAGTCTGTTTCTGTGCTTTGACTTCGTTTTGGTGAGCACAGATGTCTCATGTGTCAGAACTATATATTTCAGACCTACATGCAGAGCGTGACAAGGCGACCCAAAAATAATTTGTTGCGACCCTCCTGAGGGCCACGACCCAGTCTTTGGGAAACAGTGAGTTAAAGAATGTGTGTCTGCTGCCACCATGTGGTCATTAGACAAACTTCCAAAGTAACTTGCACATTATTTTGTGATTTATTTGATTAAGCGATTGACATTATTTGAGAGTGCAACGAGATTGTCTTTGGGCTATAGGGAGTAATAATGGATCCATGATAACTAATGCAGGTTAAGATCTAGATTCATGGCTTTAGCATCTGTTAGGACAGGGGTGTCAAACTCATTTTGGTCCGGGGGCCGTATCCAACCTACTTTGATCCCAAAGGGGCCGGATCAGAAAACTCATGACATATAAAGTTCAAATATTTGTGCTGAGAAACGCAAATCTATTACAGAAATCTGTTTTAAATATTATAATAATAATAATAATAATATAATACTTTTTACAAAATATTATAATATTATGAAAAACCTGAAACTTTAAGAAAAATACAATTTCAACACAATGTTTTAACATGAACTTGTATGGAAACAGGAATAAGTCCAATTTTTCTTGGAAAATCCTGCACTCGGCTCCACTTTTGTCATGTTGGACATTTTTCTGATAAGGGTGTTTAAGAGCGTTTGGAAAGAGACAAATCTTCATTTGTGCTGCTCTGGTGGGAGGGGCCACGTACAGAGGTGCTGGAGACGCTGCTTTGATAAACACCACAGAAAATTGCCAAGATTTTAATAGGAAATATGATTTAAATATTTTAGTAGAAAATCAGCCGAGGGCCAGATTAAAGGTCTTGGAGGGCCGGATCTGGCCCCCGGGCCGTATGTTTGACACCTGTTTGTTAGGAGCTTGCAAAGTTTATAAAGTATTTTTTCATGTTGAGAAGAATCTTCCAAGTAAAGAGATGTCTTTTTTTTCTGAACTTGATTTGATAATAGCTAAAGTGTTTGCCAAATAACAGTCCTAGATTACAGTAGATAGTATTGTCATGCAGTAAAGAAGAAGCTGTAATAGATCTATGATTATTTAATTCTTTTCTGTTGCGGCGGAAGCGGCGGAAGTGTCCCCCCGGTGCCCGCCCTCGTGGTCCGCCCCCGGAGCTCCTCTGGCCCAATGAGCGGCGCTCTGCGCATCGGTGCGGGCCCAGTGTTCGCGGGAAACAGAGGATCTTCGGGCTTCTATCGACACAAGGCTTGATTTTACACTAAAATATACTTGCTAAACGATATATCAGGAAAACCAGGTGTATTTTACATTGAACAAACCCGCTGCCACTCGATAAATCTCTGTTATTTCTTTAATACCGCCAGAGACGCTAACAATGCTAGTTAGCTAACCGTGCGGGGCTGGACGTTGAACGGTGATGCTACTTGACAAAAAAAAGCCTCAAGAGGAACACGAAGCTTTGACTTTCTGCTGAAAATACACGTACAGACAAAATGAGCATGTTCAATTTAGATCGTTTTCGGTTTGACAAGAATGAAAAGGCCCCCAAGAAAGAAGCTGAGACTAAAGAAGAGCCCAAAAGCCCCGATTCTGAGAAGGAAAACAAGCCAGGTAAAGCACAAGGCTAATGCTGCTAAACGTGTGGCTACTGGCAAGTGATTATGTCACGTTTGGAGCATTATTAAATATGGTCTGATCAACATTTACAATTGACTAATGGTGTTTTAACATTTCTTCTGAACGAATTGAAAACATAACCTGCTTGCCACCAATTCAATGTAAAGGAATCCATGTTAATTAATACGATATATTATGAATTCTAGACCAGAATACACACTTTTGTTTATTTTAATTAATATATAACACTATTTTCTGATCTGATATAATATTGTTTCTTCATCACAAACATACCTGGACTTGTGTTTTGTTTCATTCACACACAAACCCTGCACATTTAGGCTGAGTTTTTCTCCCAGACGAAAAGAAAACGCTCAGTTCCACCTTGTGATGTCATGTGGTAATACATGAAGTGCTCCTCTGTGTTTTTAAACTCAATACACTTTCACTAGACTCATTAGCAGTTGCTGGGATGAAATTATCCACCTCTCTGTTGAACAAAAGGTAAAATTGGCTTTTAACTTGAAAACTAGGGGTGTGCAAAACTATCATATATTGATATAAATATTGATTTTATGTGATGATACAGTATCGATATCATGGGCTGCTGTATCGATATATCACCAAAAGTATTCTTTGGTGTATTTTAGTCAATTATTTAGTTACGTCGCTATAGTTTTGTTGCTTGTTTAGAGGAAGGAAACACATTTATGCAACACATTTGACAAGTTAATTGTTTTGATGATTAAAATGTTTGTGTTTCATATGAACTTTGCACAAGAAATGGTTTAACAAAGACTTTTAGTGTCACAGCCATGATTTAGGCAGTTTTATTGAACTGTATCGAATAGATTTGAAATGTATTGTATCAAATCTGAATTGCACTGTATGTAGATATGTATCATACTGGCAACTTCTTATACCAACCCTTATTCATGAGATCACAAGGTGGAATAGAGCATTTTGAGCTTTGGAGATGTAGACAGAGGATTACTGTATGAATGAAACAAAAAACAACTCCAGGTATGTTTTTAATGTGGTAATAATGTTATAACATGGCTTAAAGATCATGAAAGTACATGTTGTGTAATATAGGACCTTTAAAGATAGGAAGTCAAGAGATATAGTGATCTTGTTCTTCATAACTGTCAACAAAGTACCATATCTGCTATTGTCTTTAATAAGAACTAACATTTTGTAGGGCAGTAATATTTGACGCATGTTCTAACACGTGAGTTCTTGTAATAGAAATGATCAGGTTCAACATTTGTGAATTTCCGCTTTGGGTAAGTGCAATGTAATGTGTGACCATGACTCACCCCCCCCCCACACACACACTTTTTCCACCTTCAAGGGGTGTAAAGTGTCCTGCCCAAGAATACTTTTTTATGCTTAAGATTATATAATGATCTGAATAATTTCAAATAATGTAAATAATCTTGATATCCCGAGTTTAGGTCTGTGCTTTGAGAAACTTGTCAAACTTTTCAAATACATTCTATGCATAAAAGTTGTTATCTTGCTGGAATGTGTTGAGCAAAAGTGCTGTCTTGTATGTATTGTTGCCAGTTCACAAATTAACTCCTTGTATTTTACTCAGCCAAAACAACCCCATCCAAGCCCGTGTCGACAGGAGTGGTTTTTCTGGATTCAGACAGCGATGAAAATGATGACATCGTGTTCGTGTCAGAAGTGGCATCACCAAATTCCAAAAAATCTGTAACAACAAAATCTGCGTATGTAATTTTAAATGTGTTCTATTTGACTTTCTGGGGTCCACCACCTTCTTATCGAGCATTTATTTTAAAATTACAGCTGTTTTTATTGTTTTAAACTCTCTTGGCAATATATGCTCATGGTCCATGTCACATCTCCACAGATCTGACCTGGTAGGGTCACATGCTTGTCTTCTTGAAAATAGTTACGTTTAGTGCTACACTGTGTGCCATTACAAGCTAAAAAAAAAAAAAAACATCTCCATGAAAAAGTAACAGAATGCACCTTTTTAATGCAAAACACAGTTTATATTTCATCATCATTTTTATTTGTGATTTTAGGGACTCTTCTAAACCAACCACAAAGGGTTCAAAGGGCTCTACTTCTTCTCATCTCGAAGAGAAAATCAAAAAGTTGCTGGCAATGTTTCCTCAGTTAAACAGAGAACAAGTTACAGAGGTGAGAACTTCAGATTATAGTAACTGCTTGAGAAAATCAGAAAGTACTGCGAAAGACTGGAGATTAGGGCTGCACAGGTTTGGACATCTAATTGAGATTTTTCTGATGAAGGTTGCAGTTGCGATTAGATATGCAGTATATGTTAAAATGTCACAATGTTACATTCCTTTTTTTGTAATGATGTTGTCTTTGTGATTTGATAACTTTCCCAACTCAAAATGTGACTAATTGTGGAGCCCTGTTGGAGATGGGTCTTGAGTTGATTCCTTTTGCGTTCTCACTCAACAGTTGAGAATGAAAACTAAGTAAAAGTATGAAACTGTACCCTGGTACACTCTTAATTAATTAGTAATTTTGTTGCAGGTGATTGGAAGCACAAGCACTCTGGATGGAGCCATCGCTACATGTTTACTAAAATATGGTGACAAAGGTACAATGTGTTCACGTTGTGTCAGGTGGATTGTGTTATCAGGGTAGTTGTTATACATGATCCTCTGACCTGTTTCAGACCGGGGTGCGAAGAGGAAGGCGGACGGGTCCTCAAGTTCTCAAGACAGTGATAATCAACCAGCAAAAAAGAAGAAGTCATCAGAGGTGAGTTAAATTATAAATTGCTAAACAAATTTATTTTGGCATGGAATCTACTTAAAGATGCACTGTGTAACTTTTCTGGTGGAATATCTGCACCTGCCTCTTGTTGCTTTGTCTGTAAAGTTCCACAATGTGGCACTGAACCTGTCAATCTTGAATTCATTCATTTAGTTTCATTGCTCAAGGATAGCTTGATTAACTTGCTTTCTTACTGTGAACGTCTTGTCTCCATGGAGATGGGGATGGCGGTCTCCCCACCAGAAAAGTTCCACAGTGCACCTGTGTTTTATCAAGGCCCTAACCTTCTTTTGTTTATGTTCCTAAAGGTTGATCTTGAAGATTGGAATAATCAAGAGGCTATGGTCAGACGACTGCAGAAGAAGTTTCCTGACCAAGATAAAGAAGTAAGCCATGAAATACAAAAAATACATTGAGCTGATATGAGGATTTTCATACTGCATCTACCGGTGCAATAGTAATCTATAGTATCTAGCCGTGTAGTGTGTACTGAATCGGACTGCAATTAATGATGATTTAGTAGATGACTTTAGTAGATGATTTTTTTTTTTTTTTTTTATTGATTACGTTTATTTAAAGACATTTTAACTAAAAAATGTTGAAACAAGCTCACTGACAGCTGGACAGAATGATGGATACATCGATGTATAGAGTGATGGATAGATTTATATAGAGATAGAGAGATAGGTAGAATATTTACAAATAAAATATATCATTGATGCAAACACGATTTTTTTTTTTTCCATTTGATTTAATGATGCTGCTTTCTTTAATATAAAAGGCTATTTGCATGTGTTTTAGAGTCTGTGTTGTCCAGATAAAAATAACAATTATTAAATAAAATGTTTATGATTATTTTAAAAGTAAACAGTATTTCCAAATAATTGTTGAAACCCTAATAATTATTCTGTTATTTTTAAAGGAGCTCCGGTCAGTGCTTGAAGAACATGATTGGAAATATTCAGATGCTCTTCAAGTACTGCAGATGTTCGCCGACCCAGGTTTGATAAATCTTAAATCTAAATTATATTATATAATATTTTAGTTTAAATTTCACTTTCTCATTCTTTATTTCCACAGAAAATACCAGCAGCAGTTCACAGGAGTCCAGTAAAGCTAAAAAATCCACAGTTAAAGAGGAGAGTGACAGTGACAGTGATAGCAACATTACAGTGAACAGTGAGGACGATGAAGTTTCTTTTGTTTCAGAAACCAAAATGGCTCCAATTTTCAATTCAAAGCTCCAATCTAAAAGCAAAGTAAGTCATAAAAATAATTCCACAGCCATAGATTCCCGTAAAGCCAAAACTGATGAAGGCAATACGGATGGTGAAAATTCAGATGAACCCACTTCAGATGCCACAAAAGACAGTTCGGATTCAGAATTGGATGAGAGACGAGTGGGGGAAAAAAGGCAAAAAAACACAAAACTGTCCCAAGAAACGAAACCAAAACAATCTGTAGTGACCAGACTAACTAGTGCCATCAGTGTAGCCAAGAAAGCTGCAGAGGAGCGGAAGAAGCGTGTCCAGGCCAAAGCCAAAGAAGTCAGCTCTGAGGTGGAAGAAGATTACGATGAAGAGGATGAGGACGATAGCGAGTTTGACGATTCTGACGAAGAACTTGACACCAAAAAGGGCCCGACCGACGTGAAGACGGAAATACTCAACTTCTTCAACGAGGCTACTGTAGATGAGTTGACTCTGATCTCCGGCTGCTCTGTGAAGAAAGCACAAAAGATCACGGACCTGAGGCCCTTTGACAGCTGGGACAGTCTGGTGAGTAAAAGAAGGAAATGGAGGTACAAAGCAATACAGAAATGTCAAACTCAAACCAATTTTGATCAACCAACTTTATGCACTTGTACTAATTCTAATACACCTCCAACATCATTCTAAAACAGATTTGTAAAGGCCAAATTTTGTCATGTTTATGTGACAGTTTTGATACTTTTGACAACCCTAGTTTGCGCTACGGTTTAAATAAATAAATACGTAGTGAAAATAGTGAAATTTTTAAAAAGCTCAATTAAGCCCTGTATTTTAGACGTTTTTGCCACTGGAAATTAGTAATGGGGCTAGTTTAATTTTGCAGTGGAGGTACTATATTGGTTATTGTTATGGGGAGAATATGGTTGATAAGAACTGACTCCATACCCAGGTGAATAGTTATGTGAAAAGTTTTATAATATCAAGACACTCCATGTTACATCTCTGCAAGTGGCCCCTGAGCTGCAGAGCAAAGAGACTATCAGCATTTATAGTTTGAGATAATGAGTAGAATAGATGTATACATGTGAACTCTTGGTACAGAGTACACATACAAATACAGGAGGCAACTGCACGTGTTCAAATAGAACAGGGAGTACAGAAATGTTAGTTAGGCCTGAAAAGTTTTACACTGAAAATATTGTGTTCAGTGATCATACTTAAACCACTGGCCATTGGGGTAAATAATTTTATGAAAATTAGTGATGTCAAATTAAAAGTTGATCCTGCGTGTTTAATGCAATAGTTTATTTAAAAGTGTTGCCTTGTGCTAAACTTTGGTCCCTGTGACTCTAGTGAGCAGCCTGGAATTTCCATTGCAGCAAAGTGGTGAAAATAAAGATCGATTGAACTTTAAATCTGATTAATCAATTTAATCAACTTTTCATAAATTGACAGTTCCATTATTACAAACTTGATAGTCAAATTACACAATAATTTAAATTGTACATCACCCACCACACTCTCATTAAAAAAAATAAAATTCAAAAATTTACAATTTCTTCTCATTTTGAATCCTCTTTTTCTTCCTCAGGGGGACCTCATTCATAAAGACAATGGACTTTCAGAAGACTTACTGTTGGGTTGTAAAATTGTCCTCAAAGAGCGGAAGGTGGTGCTCGGTCTCATGTCTAAATGTGAGACGATTTCTTCAAAGCTGATCAAACAAGTCTCAGTGGTGATAAAGAGTGACACTCCCCCCGAACAGCCTCAGCTTCTCGGCCCGCAGTACGTATTTAATTTCACGGGAGGCATACACAACGTTACCTCATTTGGTGTCATAAATTCAAATGGATGATTCACTATTTTTGACAGAAATATCCAAACTGACAATCCACAAATTATTCTCTCTACTTCAAAGGCAACATTCTCACGGGTTTTGACGTTCAGTTACATTTTTTTTTTTTTCCAAATATGATTTTTTTTGGAGTGGTGGTTCACATCTGATTGGAGCTGTTCACACTGACATAAAAAAATCTAACTCAAGCAAAGAATCTTGCAGAGTTACATGCACACTGTAATTATGTAGCAGTTACATAATGTGCCTTTAAAGGTGCGCTCTGTAACTTTTTGGTTGGGGGTCCGTCAGCTGCTTGTTTCTATGGATATGCTCTGCCTGAAATGTTCCACAATGTGACATTAAATAACTCTACCTTACATTTATTCAATTACAGATGGTTTTATAGCTATAGGATCTGACCTGTAACTTGGCTTGGTTTGGTTTCCATGAAGATAAAAAGGTTTAATACCATACTTGAAGAAAAGCATTTGACAGACCCTCCACCAAAAAGTTACACAATGCACCCTTAAATGTTTAATGGCCACGAATCACACCTTTGTGACTAAACACCACCACCATTTATTAAGTTATCGCAATAACAGTTAAAGTCTAGACAACCAATTCATGTTTGCGGATGGGCTAAAAAATTAAATTTTGACCTGGTTAATTGTCGATATTTCCAATTCAATGAATTTTTTTTTGCAATACAATTAGTTCTTTAGTTTAGACTAGGCCATAATTAGTATATCAACTTATTGTTTATTACATGTCTGGGGTCAATATTTATCTTGAGTATTTTTGGTTATTTTTTGGCCGTATGATCAGATTTAAGCCATAAAAGTTTGAATGAATAACTTCTTTTACTCATTACAGATGCAAACTGAGTACTAAAGTGTTGCATTATGCTCCTTATTTATTGCAGCTCATGTTTTTTAACATCATTGTTCATTTTTGTGGTTTAAATCTGCTATTGTGTCAGTGGCATAAATTAGTTTAAACATTTCTTTTGTTTATCATCTATATTTACTTCAGCAATACATCACACTTCAAATTCGTGACAGGCCTAGTCTAGTCACTTATCACGTTCAACTATACACTGTAAATGGGCTCAGCTAACCTGTTATTTATCTGTCACATTCCAAATAGCAAGTGCTCATGGAGGCACTTGTAGTTCATTTACTGTTTCCCATTGACTTTACATTGAGAAATTTCGCCCCTCTCTCTGTAACTGTTGAAGTGAGCCTCGTCATTTTGGTCTTAAAATGTTCGTACCAACCCCAGTTTACATGATTTTGGTGTTTGTATTTCCCTATTTTGTCCCTTAATAAATGCCTATTCCTAATCTGGAGCTTCATTTGTCTGGAGCCGAACGCTATGGGTGACGTTACACTCTCTTTGTACAGTCTATGGGTTCATCATTTGTGCATTTACCTTTTTAGATATTTCATGGCAGAGTACAATGTTATCCATAGGAAAAATAGTCTCTTACCCCCATCTGAGAGTATGACATCACATTCTCAAATCTGTAAAAAACACCAATTACTTAACAGAAAAATGGTCCATTTTTAACATCTGAAAATTTAACTTGTTTGTTTTGTTTTTTTTTAGTCTCAGTTTGAAACCCTATCAGCTCATCGGTCTGAAGTGGCTGATGCTTTTGAACGAACACAAACTGAGCTGTATCCTGGCAGATGAAATGGTGAGAAATCATAATAATGGACAAACATAACTTGATAAAAAAGAAAACACTTCAGATTAAACTCTATTGATGATTTTTCTGTTTCTTTCAGGGTTTGGGGAAAACTATTCAGGCCATAGCATTTCTGGCTCAGCTTTATGAAAATGGAGATACAGGGCCACACCTCATCGTTGTCCCATCCTCTACACTGGGTAATGACATCTTTTCTATTGTATATATTTACAAGTTGAACTTCTGTGACACTTTTGTAACATTGTGGGCCTTGCTTTTTGTCTTTTTAGATAACTGGGACAGAGAACTGAAAATGTGGTGCCCAACACTCAATGTTACAGTTTATTATGGTAAGAATTTCTTTCCTTCACACTGACACAGTAATACTTTAACAGGGTAGCCGCGGGGTCTTAAAAGTCTTAAAAAGGGCTTAAATTTCATGTTCCTAAATTAAGGTCTTATAAAGTCTTAAATTCTGTTGTCCAAGTCTTATTTTTGTCACAAAGGTCTTAAATTTCATAGCCTTTTTTTTGGTTTACTCAACCAGGCTGCAGTGTAATGAGTAAACAATCAGTAGAGTGAAGGAAGACTTTGGATGGACCATGGGGAAGTGTAGGTTTAATCCCCAGTGGCTTTTAGGTTCTAGATATAGTACCATAGTTGGTTGGTCTTTATTAGAACTGGATCTGGTGCTTTTCGCCTGCATAATGGGTGCGATGTTGGTCTTAATTTTCATTGAAATTGTCTTAAATAGGTCTTTAAAAAGTCTTAAATTTGGGGTAGTCAAACCTGGGGATACCCTGTTTAAGGGCCTGTACCTGATTTTAATTCGTTCTTGTCAAGGTAAATGTTCTTTACAGCATGCATTGTACAGTAAAAGCTGCTAAATATGGGGGGAAATGGCCCTTTAAAGGTGCATGGCATAACTTTTCTAGTGGAGGGTCGATTTTATTACTTTATCTAGAATGTTCTATGGTAGAGATTAAACCTATCTATCACTTCACAGAGAGAATTATTGTATTTTTGAGCAATAGAAACATTTGTGATGACTAAATGCTAGATAGATGCGTTAAATTGCCATGGAACATTCCATGCAAGCAATAACATCTCCATAGAGACAACTAGATGATGGACCCCCCCACCAGAAAAGTTGCACAGTGCACCTTTAATCAAAAAAGAAGAAGCTTGTTTGATATAAATGTTAATCATATACACTCTTGTACAGGTTCTGCAGAGGACCGACGTTACCTCAAATATGACATATTGAACGGTGAAATCGAGTTTGACGTCATATTGACAACGTGAGTAAACACACTCAAAAAATTACATCCATTCATATCGCAGCCCAAGTTCTTTTCAAAGTATCATCATTTCCTCCGCAAATAATAAAATATCCTCTTATTCTGTATAAAACTGCCAACCATGTAGTTTAGATCAGCTCATGTTTCAGTCTTTTGTCAATTCTTTTGGACATGTTTAAAATGTGAAATTTAAAGAGAATCTTATTATCAAAACATTAAGTTGTAAATCTAATCTCTTTGCATTTAGATATTTTTCACATCGTTCAGCCTTTCTCTGAAGAATAATGGTTTGTAACAATTCTATTTTACAGATATAATGTTGCCATTGGAAACGACAGTGACCGGAGTCTTTTCCGCAAACTGCGCCTCGTCTATGCCATATTTGATGAAGGTCATATGCTGAAGAACATGAACTCTCTGCGATATCGTCATCTCATGGCTATTAATGTATGTACAGGTTTAGTAAGGTATTTAATAAGGCTGCAACTATACTTATTAGTCAGCTAGTCACACTATTGTTTCTATTGTATACTAAGACTTTAAATGAAGGTTGAAGTATAGTGACTAAATTTGTCATTGATCACTAACCTGTGTTTTGTGCAGGCTCAACATCGTGTGCTGCTCACTGGGACCCCTGTACAGAACAACCTCCTGGAGCTCATGTCTCTGCTTAACTTCATCATGCCCTCAATGTTCTCAGACTCCACCTCGCAGCTCTCAAAGATGTTCTCCCTGGTTAGTGTTTGTCTAAAGTGGAATGGGAAACTTTCTGGTGACTTTTACAGGGTTAATTGTGTGTGAGATCATCTAGGCTTTATTTATAATTGCAGCATATGATACAGACACTTAAATTACCCATATTACACTATTTTCTGATCTGTTATAATCACAAACATACCAGGACTTGTGTTTTGTTTCACACATTTAACACACAAACCCTGAGTTCTTTGAAACAGAAAACATCCTGTTTCACCTTGTGATGTCTTGGTAATACAGCTGTGAACTTGAACACTACTGCTTTAATGCTCTTTGAGATGTAGAAAAATAACAAAATGTCACTCAAACATGTGTGAATGAAGCAAAACACAGCTCCAGGTTTGTTTTTGAGGAGGTAACAGCATTATAACTTTAAGTAGCAAGGCAAGTTTATTTTATAGAGCACAATTTGTTTGCAAAGTGCTTTACAGAACAAGACATTAAAATCACTAGACAAAAAACACATATAATCAAAATAATTTATTTAACTCTAAGATCGAAAGGATTAAATTACGAAAAGAGTGAATAATAAAATTCTCTCAGGCTTTATGCACAGCTAAACAGAAATTTGAACAGTGTTACTTGAATGAACAGAGCCTACCAAGCTCTTGAAATAAAACATCTTCTAAATTCTCTTACACTCTGACGCATACTGTGCTAAAATTTTCCTGACAAAACAATTCTAAATATCACTTTTTAGAAATCCTCAGAGGGAGAGAGTAAATTTGAAAGACAACGCATTTCTCAAGCCAAACGAATCATGAAACCGTTTATCCTCCGCAGAGTTAAAGCTGAGGTAAGATCATCACAGCTCTTTGGTTTAGGAAAGTACAGGTTTGTTGTTGTTGTGATGAGATAATTCTTTGTTTTGTGGCATTTCTCCAGGTCCTCAAACAGCTCCCTGCCAAAGAGGAAAGAGTTGACTACTGTGCCATGAGTGAGAAACAGGAAGAACTGTACAAAGACCTTTTCAGAAAACTCAAACAAGCAGATCCAACTGAGAGTAAGTGGCATTTTTGTTGTATTGTTGTATATCTATTATTACATGCATTCAGTTTTATGCTAATTCATTTGTGCTTTTTATTTTAAGAGCGTGAGATGTGTAATGCAATGATGCAGCTCAGGAAAATGGCCAATCACCCGCTTCTTCATCGTCAGTATTACACCACAGCGAAACTCAAAGCCATGAGTAAACTAATGCTGAAGGTAACGACGTCGAAACTTATAAAATTTAATAAAAAATGTACTTTAAAATGGTAGAACTATTTTTAAAGGTGCACTGTGTAACTTTTGTGTCCACTACCAACACTTGTAATTTGACCTGATGCTGTTGCCTGCTTTTTTGATCGTGACAAGCAGGTGGCAGACTGACCCTACACCAGAAGAGTTGCATGTAGCACCTTAAATTTTTACTCAGTGTATGAATCAGATAACAATTAAACCTGTTGTAATCTGTCATGGAAATTCTGCTCACAAGACAATATCAATTTTTAGAGACACCAATTGCAAAGTAGTGATTATTATTAAATCACAAAGAACAAACTCATCACATATGGTTGCCAAATCCTAAAACTAAAACCCATGTGCAATATTTAAATGATGTGTGTTCTCACTGTCTGCTAATGCTAAATTCAGTTGTGATTGTATTGCCTTATTCAAACAGGAGGAGTAAATGTAAGTTAATGTCTAACTGTACTTCTATGCTCACAGGAGCCCACACATTTTGATGCTGACGCTGCTTTGATTCAAGAAGACATGGAGGTGATGTCGGACTTTGAGTTGCATAATCTGTGCAAACGGTACAGCTCCATCAGCTCCTACCAGCTAGAGACAGATATTGTACTGGACTCAGGGAAGTTTAAACACCTCGCCGGACTGCTGAGTGAAATGAAAGAAAAGGTGGGTGTATTAAGAATTGACTTCGAACTGTCTCTAAAATTTAAATGATCAGATTCTGTTCTATTGGCATTGTCACTGAACAAAATTCACAAATTAGGTACTTGCTTCTGTTATGGAGCAACAAAAACATATTCTTAAACAAAGAATAAAACATAAACTATTATAAAATAAAAGTATAAAAATAAGGTAAAAACAGACTTTGGTGTACAAGAATTAACCAAGCAATGTGTCTTCTTCCAGGGCGACCGTGTGGTGTTGTTCAGTCAGTTCACGATGATGTTGGACATTGTGGAGGTTTTTCTAAAGCACCATAAACACGGATACGTTCGCCTGGATGGATCCACGCCTATTGCAGACAGGTCAGATATTGCTTTGTTTAATTGCTGGGTTTCAGATGAAATCACAACTTTCTATAGGTGAATATTTATTAGTACAGAGGGCGCAGCTAATTAATATTAAAATATTAAGTTTTGTTGTAATGAGTGAGATCTTGTGTCTAGTCCCATTTGTCATGAACTGGCTCAGGGTTTGGACAAGGTGGAGTCCACACATGTTTAAAAAGAGTACAAAAATAGAAATTTAAAAACAAGATACAAAGTTGTGGCTGCATGGTGGAGAGGAGAGAAGAGCCAGCAGCAGCACAAACACGCACCCACATAACCTCAGATGGAGCGGTGCCTGTCTGTAGGGGATTAGCTACTGTATGTGTAAAGGAATTCCCAAATCATCCCAAACCAGTCTCCAAATCATACACATTGATTTGGTTCTTTCAAATTACTATAATCATACTTTTGCAACAAAGATACAAAAAAAACAAAACAAAACAAAAAAAATGTTAAACTTTGTGCCACGTTTTGTTTGAGAATAGACATGGTGCATTTGGCATATTTACATACATTTTTCTTTTTTTTTATTTGCAAATGTAATCTTTGTCATTTTTGCAGGATTGTGTTGATTGACAAGTACAACACCGACAAAGATGTATTTGTGTTCCTGTTGTCAACCCGAGCCGGAGGTCTGGGCATTAACCTCACCTCCGCCAATGTGGTGATCCTTCACGACATCGACTGTAACCCCTACAACGACAAACAGGCAGAGGATCGCTGTCATCGGGTGGGACAGACCAAGTAAGACACACAAGCACAAATTTTTATGAGGACGCAAGAAAAGTAATGCCCAGTTTAGCACTGAAAGTTATTGGATATTAACTTGGGCTGTAGACCTTTAGTCGTTTGGTCAATTATTCTGTTGATGATGTCTTAGTCGACCAAAACTTGTATTAGTTGACCATTTATTTTATTATATTTACAATTTAAAGATTTATATGGGACAATAACAGAAAGAAGAAGGTATGTTGTGTTAGCTGATAATTGGAGAACTTCCATTTTATACATAAATACAGTTTCCTTGTACATTTCTATTTTAAGTAGTGGAGTGTGAGTGCAGTATGGATCAGATTGTATGGTCAGATCATGAAGGCGTTTAGAGCTTTTGCAATGCCCCTTTTGAGTAAATTCATCGGTTGATGGGACATCTTTTATTCAACTATAGCCCTAATTGGCATAATTGTTATTTAATAATTGTTACTGCACTGAGAAAGACAGGAGTGCAGTACTTGCATCAAAATTATCATACTCATGTACATTTTGTGTTTTGATGCCTATAAGCATATGTTATTGTCCAACCCTATCCTATCATTTTGACACTGACATTTGTTTGAAAAGTGTGAGCCCAGTGTACATGGTATTTACAACAAAAAAGGAGCTTTAGCCAAAGAAGAAGCCTTGAGTCCAGCCTTGAATCCAGAGAGGGTGAGACAGTTTCAAATACAATGACACTTTTTGCTACATGTTGAGTTATGAGTTCAGATGTGAGTAGTTATTTTATGACACTGGTTTAATTCTCATCATATTTAGCTTTTAATTTTATGGTTAATATTACTCATCACTCTCTGGAACATCCATAGTCAAACAGCTCGTCAAATAATTAGATGTTGCCGAGTTTACTAACTATTGTACATGCATGGCAGTGCATCATGTTCTAGTTTCTCTCTCCGTGATGTGTGTCTCCTGTCTTCTTTGGTAGGACTGTGCAGGTGATCAAACTCATCAGTAAAGACACTATAGAAGCTTGCATTCTTCAGCTGGGTCTGAGGAAACTCAAACTGGAGCAGGACATGACTGCAGCAGACACAAGTAAGATGAACTCTGATTGTAATTTTTTTTTTTTTAAGTTAAATATTAGACAAATTAAGCTACATGAAAATGTCGCTAGAATGTTGAAATGGAGGTGACTGTAAACAAAAGTGAACAACATACCACATAATTATCTGACATTAGATATAAATTCTGATGATTCTCTGTATTTTTAAACACAAATACACAAAGTGTTTTGAATTTCTGGGGTAAAACGGTCAGTTAGTTTGCTCCTTTTTTTGTAACTTTTAAAAATATTATTATATTATCAAAACAATCAGACGTATTCGTAGTATAGTAAGTAAGAAATCCTTGGAAACACTGAAACACTTATAAAATATGAGCCATTCTTTGTGCAAGTGTGTTTTAACCAGTAAAAGAAAATATAAAACAATCCAAAAGTCAGTGCGTATCAGATGTCGCTACAATCTTCTCAAAGCCCGGAACCCATTTTGTAATCTACTGTGGCTAAACCTTTTCCACTGAAATTGCATTCTGTTTCACCTCACTCCAATTGCCTCTAGTCCGTAAAATAAAATGTAAGAGTTCTTTTCAAATTTATTCTGTGCACTGTAGTTCACAAATGACCCATTGTATTGTTGCAGCTGTGGAGGGGACCATCCCAGAAGACATGGCCTCACTGCTCAAAGCTACACTGGGACTGTGACACAGAACATTACTTGAGAAAGGAAGTGACTTTCCTGTAAATGAATTTGTTACACTGGAACAAACCTAAAGACCAAATGCTGCAGTTCCTTGTACCATTCAAACTGTGCCTGAACTGAAAACTGCAACTAAAAACACTACCAACCTTTTTCCAGTGAATAGTTTACACATCCTTTCAGTGACTTACACTCTATGGTTTGTGCATTTATTTGTTTGTATAGTAATGCTGAAAACGGTTACAAACAAGCAATGACACTAGGAACATTTTGGTTTAATTTTGAAACCACAGGATGTAACTTTCTAGCCAACAAATAGACTAAAATAAAAGCATCCAGTTTTATTGCACTTAACATAGAAAAACATGTGTTCTTTCCATGAGCAGGCTTTTGTCTTCACAAACCTGACTCTTATTTGGCCTGAAGGAGGGCCGTCTCCTGCTTGTCTCCATTAAACATATTTATCTCCATGGAGGATGTTGCAAAGTATGATTTTAACTTTCTGTTTCTATGGAATTAAGCTGGTGACGTCCCATTACTGGAAAGTTAGACTAAATTAGGGATTTGCTGCAGTCTACACTTTGTTGCGGTCTACACTTTGCTAACCCAAGTGTAAATAAGTCTAAAAGAGTAATGATATCATACCACCACTTGAGAATTGTGAAAGACTTGTTAGGGCAATATACAATATAATTTAGGCTCAGATGCTTTGCCAGCAAATTTTGTTTGTTTTTGGTGGTTTGAAAACCACTAAATTTTTATGTATGTGTACGATATTCAGCCATATTTACTCATGTCTAGTATGTTTTTTCCATGTAGTTTCCGTTATGTACAATATGAAGTTTTCTAAAATATGTCGTAAAAAAAAAAAAACTTGAAACATCAACTCTGGATACCTCGTGTTTGACAAGTACCTTTTTATACAAGCAGAATGTGCTCTGATACAGTGCTTAGTATTTTTACATGTCAAGAAAGCGTCTCTGACAGAAAGACTGCTGTTGCCCTCAGTGGCTTTGTAATGTCGAACTGTTTCCTGTTTTTTATGTATGTTAAACTGAAGTAATAAACATTTCACTGTTTTTCTTTATTTAGGCTTGTTTCTAAATGTGTATCATGAGGTTGACAGCAGATGTATGATGACACCCAATGTACTTTACATACATTTTGCATTATTCTTTTATTCCATACTCAGTTGTGGTAAGACGCTGCTGAAGTTACAGCTGCCCTCGGGTCGACTGATGGAAGCAAGGTCCCCAGTCTGCATCACCACTCTCACTCATGCACTCAGGTTCCTGACATAATGGATGGAAATGATGAGTAATAAAACTCTCTCTGCCATTTTATCAAAAGTATTTAATTAGGTACATTTGGTTTTACTGCTTAAATTTAAACCGTTCACTTTCATTTACAATCTTAAAATGACAATCTCTAATCATCATTAATATAAGAAACACACACAAAACAACTATTCTCTACAAATGAGTTATGTCTTTTATTCCGCAATACTTTAACAGCTACTGTAAATATTACAAAATGGGCTAAAATGCAAATACTTGTCCAAAATCCATTGTTCGCTAATAAATGTGTTAAGTTGAATCTGTGTATCGTTCGTTCATTAATTTTTTCAAAATAAAACCAAAGATAAGAAAATGCAAAAAAAAAAAAAAAAAAAAAGCATAAAACAAAATGAAAAAACAGATGATTTGTTTTTTCAGTTAGAGATTTTCTGTTTAAATTAATAATGGGGAAAAGAAAAAAAAAAACGATAACAGCCGTTGCCGTGACTTAAACAGCCGGACTTTTCCGCCGCATACGGATTGAACCAGGACTGGACCAGGACTAAACCAGGACCTGAGTGTCGGGACAGGCCCGAAAGTGTGATCAGGACTGAGACCGGTACCAGGACCAGCCCAGGACTGATCAGTTTAGTCCTGGGTTAGACCTGGTTCAGTCCTGATTTAAGTCTAGTGTTCTAGTGTAGTCCTGGGATCAGTCCTGTTTCAGTCTCTGTCTGGTCTTGGTCTCAGTCCTGATCACCCGATAGTCCTGGTTCAGTCCAATGATTTTCCATTATTAATTTAAACACAAAATCAAAAACTGAAAAACCAAATAGTTACCAGGTTTTTTTTTTCATTTTGGTTTTGGAGACAAAAACTGAAGAAAATTGTAGATTTTTCGTTTATCTTTGGTTTTATTTTGAAAAATGAATGGACGAATACATGGATTAAGTTGCCTTCTAAAATTACCTCAACATACATAATACACAATTTTAATTTCACAGTAAAACAATGATCTACTCTGCACTGGGAGAGTACCGCCCGCACCTGAACCCCGTGAGGTGAGCGTCACATTTAATAGTGTAACTAAAATACAGAACTCCTTTCTTGAGTCGGCAGCTGAGCCCATGAGTTCCTCTCTCGGGGAACACCAGGCACCTCCCGACCATGTCATTGTACAGCACGTCCCGGTCCCACACCTCAAACCACATCTCCTGACCCAGCTCCACCGATCCAAACGCATAACTGGCATTCCAAACTGGATTGTTGTCGTCCATAACTGTTGCCGTCTCCTCGTACATACCATTGTAGAATATTTTTACATACGCATCTGTTTTCGTGAAAGTATCTGCTCTTAGTCCAGATGCTCTGTGGATTTCTAAAGTTAACGTCCCCCTTCCTGCTCTTAAAGGACAGCAGTTGTGGTCAAGATTGGGTTTTGGTGAGCACTTTTTCATGCCCAGCTGATCTTCTTGCAGCTGGTTCTCCTTGATGTACTCCGTGACCGAATTCCTCAAGTTCGCGCTGATTTGTGGGTCGTCTACCAGATGGTGCAAAGGGAAAATTGCATAGGAAACCACATCTGGATTGTCCTGGAGGCTGTTCATCCAGCTATGGTAGGACTCAGATGGGTCTTGGTGGTATAAAATATCTGGGAAGTACCTCTCACCTCCAAAAACTTCAATTTTATGGGTCATGAAGCCTTGGTAGAACCCCATACTCATGTTACCCTTTAGGAAGTTGTCACACTTGTTGGAAACCGTTGCATTTGCAGGTAGAATGCCAAGAGCCATACGGAGCTCGATATTTAGACAGTTCTTGATCTGTGCCTCCGAGAACCCCTTTAGAGTCGCCAAGCAGGTCCTGAAAGCTGTTATTCTTCTCACTTTGCCTCCAAGTTGGACCTACAATAATAAAAATATGTATATTTAGTGCTTGCTTGCTATAAAAGCGTGTACTGAACTGTAGGAATGTGCAGTTAATTGAATTTTAATCGATCAATTTCCAGTTACTTCTAATTGTCATGTGAAATAAAGCAATTTTCTGGCACTGTAAGTAGTTCTTGTTTATAGTCAAGAAGTCATTATTAGATTTTAATAACAAAATTGAAGTAAAATATGAAATAATTCAATATGGAAATCAAGATTGCTTGTCATCTTTGCTGCAAAAATATGAACTGTACTGTAAAATTTTAAGATATTTAAATTGGTATGAATAATTTGGGGTGATACTTTACTAAAATAAGTTTGCAGCACCTTTTATTACCGTATTTTTTGCACCATAGGGCGCACTTATAAGCCTCCAACCCCATCAAAAAACTACTGCACGCCCTGCAATCCACAGCGCCCTATACACGAATCCACTCGGGTGTCCCAACACGACTTCAGTACACTACAAAGCTGCAACATCTGCTCCGTGCATGTTTCGTGCACTACACCCGCAGCGCACGAAACACGCACAGAGCAGACAGCGACCGCGCCGCAAAAAACACCCACAGCCACACTCATCACTCCACGCGGACGAGGAATGGAAAGGAGGAATGAACCAAAAAAGCGAGCGCAATGTACCGCTTCTAGACACGACTGAACAACTGAGTAACTGCGAACACGCCGACAATCCAGCGGTCCCAGACAGCACCCTCCCTACACATCACAACTGAACAAAGCCCAGAGTCACCGTGAACGCCACAAACAAAGTCCCACTGACCCATCCAACTGTTGTGTTTAATGCGGCTTACAGTCCGGTGCGGTTTATATGTGAAAAAAGTTACCAAAATAGACCATTCAGTGACAGTGCACCTTATAATTCAGAGCCCCCTATAGTGTGGAAAATACAGCACTTGAAAAAGGGTGTCTTGTTTATGTAGTACAGCTGAAGCATTATCTGCATCGTGAGGGGCCACCTTATACCTAAAGCTATACCTAACTTGCCAGTAATGCAGTAATCATTATTTGTCTGTATTACAAAATCTTTATTTTGCTGACCTGGTGAATGTAGTGTGTTCCGTAAGTGTCAATGAGGCGTCTATAGAGAGCTTTGTCCTGACTGGTGGTCAGGCTCTGTGGGAGTCTCTTCAGATGTTTGGTGAACTCTGCGCTCAGCTGTGGATGGTCAGCCAGTCTGTAGCTGCAATAACAAAAACACACACATTGTTTAGCATTAAAGAAACATTTTTCAGTAACCATGATCTTTAAGCGGACTTGCATTGCAGATATCTGTGACTCTTAAAAGGTCCACTATGTAACTTGCTGTCTCTATATGTCTCTGAGATATTTACTGTGGTAAAGCAATCACAATTCAACCTCTATTTTCTTTGTGTTTTAAAGAGACAGTCTGGACATAGGACCTCATTTCCTCGTGAGCCAGAGTGTTGGAGATGTGTGGAGACACTTCTTTAAATATTCCATCCAGTCCTTGTATTTGCAGAGGTCACTGGTTCTAGGCTAGTGCATGTCAATGGCCATAGTTATCCTGCCACTAAAAATAGTCTTACCCACTCCACAAAACACCTGAAACAAATCTATTATAACACCAGACTGTCGATGTAAATGTCTGTGTTGATAGAATAAATTTAGAAGTAAAACCGACCTTGCATTTGAAGGATTTATGTCTGAGCAGCAGCAGCGAGTTGTACTTTCTGATAGAAAGCTTGGCAGCGGCGGATTGATATATGAGAAAATAGTCCCTCAGTGCAACAATTCATGCAATGCAAGGTTAATTTTATTTCAAATATTATTCTGTCAACACAAACTTTTACATTGACAGTCTGGTGTAATAATAGATTTGCTTCGGGTGTTTTGTGGAGTGGGAAAGATTTTTAGTTTATGTTTTTAGTGGCAGGATAACTATGGTCATTGACATGCACTAGCCTAGCACCAGCGACCTCTGCAAATACAAGAACTGGATGGAATTTTTTTTTTTTTTTAAAGTGTCTGGCTCACTAGCAAATGAGGTCCTCTGTCTAAAATTCCTGACTGTCCCTTTAATGCCATACTTGGGAACATTTCAGGTAAAACACACAACCAGATGGTGAACCTTTCTCCAGAAAAGTTATATTCCACCTTAAACCTAAAGCTATACCTAAGTTGACAGTAATGCAGTGATCATTATTTGTCTGTATCCATAAAACCTGGTTGTTATTTTGTGTGTGTGTGTGTGCGTGTGTGCGTGTGTGTGCGTGTGTGTGTGTGTGTGTGTGTGTGTTTTTTAGTTTTCTACAGATTACTAAATCAGCAGGCACACTTTTGCGAGTAATAGGACTTTAGGCGTCTGCTCAGCTCAAAAGTGAATGATGTTTTACTTTTACTTTCTTTTCTTCTTTTGACTTACACTATTTCCACAAACAGAACAGGAAGCTATTTTAAACTTGTTTTACTTCCATTATTTAACAAAATTATGAATGAAATAAAAAATGTGTTACCTGTAGTAAGTGCAGCTGATTTCATGGGTGGCGAAAGTGGCTCTGTCCACACTGTGCTGTGAGCGGGCAAATTTGGCCAAATCAGAGCGACTCCCTCCGAGCACAGCCTTCCCGATCTCATCCAGACTTAAGCCTAGACCCCAGTTGTTGCTGACCAGAGAGCTGGAGCTGCGTAACAGTGAGTCCACAGAATGGTGAAGAGCACTGGACAGCTGTTTACTGCAGCGGCTGAAAGGACGCCAGTCTAGTACGGCCGCTGGAAGCTTCTGAACCTGGAAAACATCATGCACGATTTGAAAAAGTAGTTGAGTAAAAATAGCAAGGTTTTCCATTAACAGAGCATACAAAACAAGATGAACAACTTTTATGCTCATTATTTTTTCTTGCATTCGTATACATATAGAAGTAATACAGTTCTTGTTATTAGATTATCATATATTTTGTTATTTTTGTTATATATTATTATATTCAGACCAAGAGTTTGTTTTCAGTGAGTAGTTGAAAATGTCAGGTATGAAAACAAACTTGGTCTGAAAAAAGAATCTAATAACATAAATTATCAGAAGACCAAATTAACCTCATTGGACTAATAACATTTTTATTAAATATTGTTAATACATTGAAGGGTTTCCAAATAGAGTAGACTAAACTGTAATCTGTGTGTGTTTAAATCAATAGAGGCAATGAGTGACATTTACACTCCAATTATGTTATTAAATAAAATGATTCAAATCTCAATTGCTTGTGGCAGTATAGTGTAAGTAGAAATTTGTAGGAAACCCTGAAAGAGTAAATCATAATAAATTTAGTTTGTGCCTTTTATGAGAGGCAAGAACATCTTCTAATTAGTCTATCTTCTAATAGACTAAACGAAAAGCAAACAGAAAGTCTGGCCAGTGTGAGAGTTTAAATGACAAAGATCAATCTCAATCTGTCTTGTGTAAATTAATGTGATTTCTACCTGAAACCCAGACCAGTTATTAACATGTGTAAAGGTTCATCAGGCACAACTGTCTCCGCCTTCAGGAAGCCTTTTGTTATCATCAACTGTATGTTAATTTAGCACCAGCCTCTGAAACCAAAGTCACTCTGCATTGATATGTATGCAACTTGTATTTCTGTATCAATACTGAGAGCTTTAATGCTCTAAAAGGGACATGGGGAGAAACGGTGGGAGATGTAGTAGGAACATACTGCTGGTGGGGAGAGGCTGTTGGGTTTTGGCCAGAACAGGCTTAGGCCCTGTCCATATCAGCTGTAACAATAATAAACCTTGGTCTATATTCCAAAAACTCCTCGGGCTTCGCAAATGTATTCATTATTTATCATCAAGAGATATATAATTTTTTCCACAACACACTCATTGTACCTGGTCTTGTTGGAAGCGGTTGGGGCACAGTGTACAGGTGTGGTTGTTGGACAGGTGGGCTTTGACGTTTATCACGTAGGCTCCAGTTCGCCTCATCCGGACCACATCGAAGCCTTCTCCAGCCAGGTTATGACCGGGAACAAAAGAGGCTTTTTCACACTCTGACGCAGAGCCGGTGTAACAGCCCTGGATGTGCTGCACCTCAAACACCATCGATAACGCCACAATCAACAAGAGGAAGCGGCTCATGTGCAGCTGGTCTCCTGGCATTGTTACCTGAAGATATGAGAATGGACTTATAAGTGAGGAGAACTTGCAATGTAGTACTACTTTTCTACCTCATCATGCACCTCACACAGTGTTTATTAGTACTGTAGTGTACCCAGCTTGTTTGTATTGCATTGGAAAAACATAACTGTGACAAAAATCAGATGAGCAGACACTTTTCATCTAATTAGAAAACTATTCATTGCAAACTTGAGCCATCAAAAGAAACAGAAAACGCACACCAAAATTCTTGTGCAAATGCAAGGAGCAGCAAGACAAAAGTGAAATAATGCATAGCACACTCAGATGGCCGATGTCCAAAAGCTTTTTTACTTTTAAATAACGTTTCGGCAAAAGCAAGAAAAATATCTGACGAAGGCTTTTTTCGCTGAAACATTATTTGAAAATAAAAAAGCTTTTGGACCATCTGAGTGTGCTATGCATTTTTTCACTTTTGTTTTAAACTTGAGGCATGTGAGGCACTATAATATGATGCTTTGGGATGAGAGCTGATTGGCTGCAAGGGTAATCCTCCCTGCTTCACCTTTCTTTCTGAAAAACCTGATCTAAAGCTTCACTAGTGTTTCTTACATTTGAATACTAGTGATGCACCAAGAGGCTTGTGAGAGCTACAGACTACTGTTTTCAGGTTCTCAATCTTTAAGTAACAGGCTTCAAATGATGTAATGAATGTGTGCACTTCTTTTTGAATGTGTTTACACTTTTAGACACACTTTTAGATGCTTTTACTTGAACCCCTGACAGTCCTGCACAAGAATTCCACTGGGTTCCGACTTTTGAATGTGCACAAATGGTAAACATTAAGTCATGAATCAGCTGCAGTGAAGAGAAAACAAAGTACACAAGCATCTGCATACAGTCTCATTTTAACATGTTGACCAGAGAATAAAGATCAACAGTAAGAATTATATTTTAATAGTAACTCGATGCATTGCTAAGCCGCTTTGAAAACTGTAGAGCATAATCCAGCTGTACAGATGTTGACTCAACCCGAAACGTGCAGAGACTTATAAAAGCTTTTTTCCCTTACCTTGCACTTGAATGGGTCTTTTGTGTTGCTTTGCAGTGTCTTTTCTTCCTCCTGTGCAATATTTTGCTTATGTCTCAGCAAAAAGGAACCATGGTTTTATCCACTTCTTAAAACTGACAATCTTAACAAACTCCTTAAATTCTTTATAATACACTTATAATGAGTTTCTGTGCAGCCCTGAGTACTTTATGTCCTCTCTGTTTAGGAATTCCCCCACTTTATGCACTCTTTATCTGCTTCCCCTCTGCCTCTGTGTCTGAAGCACTCAGACAATTTCCTCAGCATGACTGGGTTTGTTTTCATGAACATGACCTAGCTCCACACATCCCTCAGACCTGTGTATGCGCATGTGCACGTGTGGGGGAGGGATCATCTTTACAGTCACGAGAGAACAGACACATGCCACTCTGAGCCCTCTTTACTGGAAATGGATCTGTAATGTCTGACTTGTCACAACAACCACACATTTTGAAGGGTAATACTGCTATAAATTACGGATACAAATACTACTAATGTACTTTTAAATGTACAGTATAGTTAAAAAAAAAAAAAAAAAAAAAAAAAAAAGAGAGAGAGCCTATGTCTTCAATAGGGTTGTGAAATCTAATGAAACTACTGATACTAACAGTATTAATTGGTACTAAAACTAGTATCAAAACTAGAAAAAGAAATGTATTTTTTCTGAATAGCTTTAGAATGATCTTGATCAGATCATGATCAGAACCAAAAGTGGGGACTTGCAAGTTGTAACTTGGACTCGAGTCAGACTTGAGTCACTATTTTTAGGACTTTAGACCTGACGTGATAAAATGGACTAAGACTTGGGACTTGACTTGGACTTGAGGCCTGTGACTTGAGAAGACTCAAGAAACACTTTCAAATCTGAATCCATAAGTCACCTATTTGGATATTAAATGTGGCCAATTTGTTTTTCTTTTCAACATTCAATTGAACCAGCAATACTGGAACAAAAGAGTCAATAGAATAATTACAAAAACTAGAAATTATACAAAACATGGTTAACATTTCAACATTTCTAATGAGATAGGTGGGCCTGTCTGTGTTTTTGTAGCACGTTCCAGTCCAGGGTTCAGGAGGAGAGAGCAACACACAGATCAGGCAACCCCCCAAAAAATCTCAGCCCCAGTCTTTGGGAAACAATGACATAGACTATACGCCCCAGGCACCACTATGGAATTATTGGGACCACTCAGAGATTACACAGATATAAGACCACATAGTAACATGAAAAAAGAAAGTACTACGATTTTATGTTGAAAATAGAGTTCTATTGTCTAAATAAAGAGTGTTTATTATTATCATTGTGGTATTGGAATTGGCATTGAGTATAGAGTCTATTCCTTAGTATCGAAATTAAGTATCATAACCACACTTCAATATACCAAATTCTTTTTAAAAAGGAAAAGACAACTTTTGTGCAAGAAACTGTTTCAACATTTACTTGCATCACATTAACAGAATAAAGCTGTCTGTATTTATTTTATGGTAGCTAAGGAACAGTTATTAAATTACATCTATGCGTGTCATTTTTGCTGCCCAACTAGGAAGTAAAATGACAAACTATACAAAATTTGTCAAACTACAGAAACTGTCATATGCACTCTTATTAGACATAATGAGTCATAGAGATTACGTATTTGACCATATACAGATCAAATGTACTACAAAGAAAATGTGAACAGTTTTAGTGCAAATAAATAAATATTGACCCCCAAAATATATTATTGTAATAGTTATGACTGGCCTAATGCATGACTGTATCTGTTATGTTTAGTTATTTATTCATAGGGACAGTGCATATGAATGTATCTGTAATTATAGTGTACTGTGTGTATGCCCATGTCCATCTTTTGTCCCTAGTCAGATAACACAGAAAACAATTACACCATTTTACAAACAAAAAGACATAACAGCAGTAAAAGAGGAGAGTTATAGTCTACAGCCAGCCTGTCTGAGCACTGATAACCTAACCAAACCTATGAGTCATCTCTGTCTTTGTCTGATTTTAGATTTTAGAGTCAAAGTCAGGAAGTCGAAGTGTTTGAGGCCTGGACGGAACAACTGTATATCTGTATCTATATACCCAGTGCAAATCCCTATACTATTTAGGAATGGTAAGAAGATTGTTTTTTTTTTTTGTTTGTTTGTTTGTTTTTTGTTTTTTAATGGAATCTGAATTAACATTACAATTCTTTCAGTGTAAAGTGTGGTATTGTGTCTGGTCCTTTGTGATTTTGTTCTTACATACCTTACATAAATTAATACTACATAATATTAATAATAACATAATACACAATGATTAAGTTAAAGAGAGACATTTTATTATTCAAGTATAAACAGATCAGTGCAAACGATTTCAAAGACTCTTTGTTGTAGACAGTTTAAAGGTCAGCTATTAAACAATTGTTATTTATTTAAAACTAAACTGAGTATTATTTACAGCATATATTTTAATAAAATACACATTAGACTATATAAAAAACCTATACAACAATAACCACTTTTTAGTCTCAAAATAGGACAGATGGGGGCACTGTTGGTTCACATTTGTTTTCCAGAGTTCGAGTGTGTGCTGGTAAAGGCTTTCCGGTGCCTTTTACACTAATTTAGCCCATTTAGAATGTAGACAATTTAAAAACAAAATGATAAAAACATACAACTTTGTATAATCAAGCTTATTCAAGTGACAATATAGTTGCGATAACAAAAACAACTATAATCTTGACCATTTTAAAAGCAAAATTAATCATTTCTTTCTCATAACTTTTTCATTCAGAAAGTGTGATTTCGTAAAACTGGTCTCATGTTATTGATGAAAGTAAATTAAAAATGTCACTGTTGTTATGGTGTCAATAATCGGAAATACTGTAAAATTATAATGTTTCTTTTTCGAATAATCGTACCACCAAAATTTGACATTGTGACTTCCTACATACAACAAATATATTGTTGCATGTAGGAATTTGTTGCCTCATGAGAGTGTGGTTTTCTCATCATTGATCATTCTGTAAGATTAATCATCTGAAGCACAACATAGTCAGAAAATGACAGATTTGCTTGTATGTATACAGTGCAAAAATATATATGTTTATAGAAAAAATATTGGCCCCTGCCAGTTTAATTCTCTGCAATGTATTTGTTTAAGCTTCTGGTGTTAATCTGTCTGTTTCTTCAGCATCTCCTTGTATTTCCTCATAGCTTTTGGACATTTGAAATCTTGGCAGCCTTCGTCTTTTCTTGATTATTACCACTGTCACCACAACCACCAGGGCAACCAAAGCCAGTACCCCAAAAGCTATCCCAGTCTTTTCCCCACTGGACAGCTTGTTATACTCAGGGTCCATCTGCTTCACCATTTCCCGGATCTCTTCTGGTTTGGCCAGTTTCCACAGTTTGGTTTTCCCCACTCGGACCCAGTTCTTATCTCCCTCAGTCATGACCATCACCGTGTTGGTGGCCTGCATGCTGACGAGAGGGGCTTTGGTGAATGGCGGCAGTCGGATAGGTTTCAGTTCTCCTCCAGTGAATAATCCTGACTGGACGCAGTAAAGGATCTCGCACCCATCGCTCACAATAGCAAGGTGTTGGCTGAATTTAGGAGGGCAGCGGCGTTGGTTGTTTGCTAGGGGATTGGCAGACTGACAGCTGAAGAGGCCACCAAAAGCCACAGAGTATCTTGTGCCTCTTTCATAGTCACGACTTACACACAGCATCAATCCATCAGAGAGGAATTTTTCTGCAATAAAATTTAGAGGACAACCTTTGGAATTAGTGATGGGATTGAGCATGGATGGGCTGTAGAAACCTCCAAAGAGATACCCAGAGTTATCTGGAGCTTTCCCATTCACTGAACACCAGTATGTGTCAATACGAGCAGAACGCACATAGTAATTGTCCTGGCAAATCCTTTGGTGGCAATCAGACCAGCCAAGAAACCCACAGCTGTATGTATGGTCATAGCATTCATATAAAGTATATCCTTCCTGTCTCACCTCAGATCTAAGTAAAGTGGGTGTGTAAGGAGAACGACAGGAGAAGTCACCTGTGTCTGGGTTTTTTTGGGCCAGTTTCTCACAAAGTGGTCCTGCATCTCGGCTCAGCTGATTACACTGTTGATAGACACCCCCGAAGCTGAGGTTAGTGGCTGGGCCCTCACACGATGCATCATCAACATTTGCCTGAAAGTTGAAGTTCTGGGAGCTGACATCTACACAGCCTGGACGAGTGTTGACCACATAATATCTCTGTATGGCTTTTTGAAGAGAATCAGCGACCTTTTCTACAGTGGGCGCTGGTATATCAGGGACTGTGTTGTGGTTGATAATATGGTGCAGGGGGACTCCTGCGCGATCAATAGCCACCAGATTGTTTTTTATGCTTTCCTGCCACTTCTGCAGAGTGATTCCAGGATAGAAAGGCACACCTCCGTGACTCTGTGTAAGGGAGTATTGGATATTGGACTGGTATGTTTGAAGGTCTGAGCTTTGTTGGGAACTTCCTCCACCTATGTCAAATTTAAGCTTGTCAAAAAAATTGAATCCTGCCTGTGCTTTTACACTAGAACTCTGTGAAACAGAATCTGAGATATATTTTGAGTTGAGGTAGTCCTCCTCCACTAAAGAGGCTCCGGCATCGACACTGGTGATCACGTGGGTTCCATAGTCCACCACCATCTTCTCAGACAGATACGCAGCATTCTTTGTCTGGTTGTTTTCGATGGCATCTGCTATGTCTTTGACTTGCTGAGCAAAACGCATGTCCAGTGTGAAGTCTGGATATGCCTTCACAGAGTAGATGAAGTTACGCACCTTTAACAAAGACAGTAATTGTTGGTTAATAATGAAATATCCTAATTCTGATTAAAATTCACTTTTATATGATATGCATTTGAAGAATTTTATTTGATGATTTAATTTTATAATTTGTATTTATTTTTTATTTGTACAATGTTCAAAGTCTGAACTCAGTTCTATGTCATTTTCACATTTTTTATCATTTCCTTTACAAACTGCAAATTATTTATAGTGGTACTATCCCATTAGTAATAATGAAAGAAAAATGCATTAAGCATTTTGATAATTTTTTTTATATAACTGTTCATAAAAAACATACCTGCACTCTGGTTGTTGTGGAAGACTCTTTGACCTGGTGCGTTTTCATTCTTTGGTTTTCTGTAGAAAATTTCCCATTCACCATAGAGAGGAAGGAGACATCTGCATTTATGGAACTAGAAGTGACACTCTTCTGGTCTGTCCACGAGCTGATGATTTCTGAGCTGGTCTCTACACCGGTCTCCTTTTGATGGATCACAAACACCTCATCAGGGATGAGGTAGATCCCGTCCTCTGTGGTCTGACACTGGGAGTAGCTGAAGTTCATCACTCGACCCATGTCTATGTTCCTGAGGTTGTCCCAGCCGCCACCAGGCAAGACCCCCAGAGATGTGATGGAGAGGTTTGTGGATGCGCGGCATTGTCTGAGCCAGTTGGTAGGGCGGCTTGTGGAAAAACAGGGTCCACTCTGAAGGAGGACTACAGCCAGGCACAAAACCAGTGTCTCCATGCTGACTAGCACTGAGTCAGACCTGCGAGAGGCTCTTAAGTTCAAGGCGACTTCCTCTTTGTGGCAGAGAATGTATCACGAGATGGGAATGTTGGAGGAGGAGCCTCAACTGGTATTAAGTTTACCTGAAGTAATGATAACTGCTCAAAACCTTACATAACAGTTATCTTCACAAAACACTAAAATATCCTTTAATTAAGCACACACACATTTTATTATTATTACATTATTATTAAAATGTACAAACTAATACAGTATTGTATACAATGGTTAAAGAGTGAGCTAAATATTTAAATTTTGAATATGAACTTGAAGACCTTTTCTCCGCAGGCCAAGGGGAAAGGGGAAGAGAACTTTTGTTGTCTCCCCATCCACTATAGACAACAGAGCAAAATATATTCTAAACAGATACATCTAAACACTCCCTATTGTGGGCCAAAGAAAACCCTTTGTTTGGCCCACAGGTAAACAGAAAGCACCTGACTGCCTCTTGCACAGGTGTGCTTGTCATAATATTATATGAACACTGGACAAGCATGTCTGTTCTTGCACTCGGAAACTCCAGGTTGAGCCTCCACCCCTCGATACAAGGTGCAGCCAAGAGGTAAAAACAACAAACAAGTCTCATGTTTTCTCTCAGGATTAGTACTAGACCACAGTGACACTAATCATTGTCATAAAATGAATTGATTATTTGGATGGTGGTGCCTCTGATAAGACATAAAGTACACAACAGTAACCAACTGTTATACCACTTACTGTTCCCTTTTGTAAAAGAGAACTCAAAGTTGATTTTAAGCAAACCCTAAAAGGGAAGTGATATTAATAAATCAGAGAACACGTCAATGGAAATTACCCAACATTTTCAGATCCTTATCAGGTTAAAGTTACCAGTTACACACTTTCATTTTGCCATTGTTTGCAACAGACTTTCCCAATAAAATACAAAGTGTCAACAAAGCTGTTTATACCATTGTGTTTTATTGATCAATAACATCAAAACCCTTTACAGCAAACTGACTGTGCAAAATATGAACCTCTGCCATTAAATTCTACATAATGAAAACAAAACAAAATGTGCAATTGTTTTAATCATTAACATTTCCCTGTAATGTTCAAAGCATAAAACATGTAATTTGAATAAGAAAAGAAGAAAAAACACTGTTATAAGACAATGAGACAGTGCTATATTACCCAGTGTCCCCAGTTGTAGAAGATTTGTCATAAGTTATAATGTTTTTATTTAGGTTATTAGTGTTATTATATTTTTTTTTTTCCAGATAAGATGTGTATTCACAAGTAATTATTTACAAACAGGACCAGATGCCCAGAAGAATATACATGCACAATTACATACAAAATTTCACAGAGCAAAAATTTTCCATTAGAAACTACTTTTTCTCCACTATTTCCACCATTTCTCTCTGACCCAGTATCACAAGGTCTACTCCAGTGTTTGCACACCTGGAGATCTGCTTATATTGAGGGTTCATCTTCAAAAATGAGATCTGATTCAAATCGTTTATGTTAAAGAACCATGCAAAACTGCCTTCTCGTTCTCGTTCTCAAATGTCACATAACTACTTTGCCCCTTCGGTTTTCTCACGATTATCACCACCCCTGCCACTATAACCACCACAGCAACTAAAGCCAGAACTATCACAAGAACTATCAAAATTGTTTCCCTACTAGACAGCTTGTTGGATTCAAGGTCCATCTTCTTCACCATTTCCTGGATCTCTTCAGGTTTGGCCAGCTTCCATTGCTTGTCTTTACCCACTCTGACCCAGTTCTTCTCTCCCTCGGTCATGATCATCACATTACCATTCGCTTCCATTTTGATTTGTGGAAGTTTGGCGAAGGGAGGCAGCTGGACAGTTTGCAGCTCTCCTCCAGTAAAAGACATTGACTGGACACAGTAGTGGATCTCACAGTCATTGCTCGATGTAACAAGGTGTTGGCTGAATTTAAGAGGGCAGTGGTGTTGATTGTTTGCTAGAGGGTTGTTTGACTCACAGCTGAGGAAGCCTCCAAAGGGCACTGCATATCTTGAGCCTGTTTCGTAGTCATGGCTCAGACACAGCATTATTTCTTCTGAGAGAAATTTTACTGCAATAAAGTTTGGGGGACAGTCTTTGGAGTTGGTGATCGGATTAGGAACCTCTTTGCTATAGAGCCCTCCGAAGAGATACCCAGAGTTGACCAAGGCCATTTCATTATTTGAGCACCAGTATGTGTCAATAAGGGCGGAGCGGACAAGGGATTTATCCTGACAAATCTTTTTGGTGCAATGTGTTAAGTATAAAAATCCACATCTGTATGTTTCATCATGGCATTCCTTCTGAGTATATTCTTCCTGTCTCACTTCAGATCTCAGTAAAGTGGGTGTGTAAGGAGAACGACAGGAGAAGTCACCTGTGTCTGGGTTTTTTTGGGCCAGTTTCTCACAAAGTGGTCCTGCATCTTCGTCCGTCTGATTACACTGTTGATAGACACCCCCAAAGCTGAGGTTAGTGCCTGGGCCCTCACATGATCCATCATCAACATTTGCCTGAAAGTTGAAGTTCCTGGAGTTGACATCTACACAGCCTGGACGAGTGTTGACTGCATAATATCGATCTATGGCATTTTTAATAGAATCAGACACCATTTCTACAGTGGGTTCTGGTATATCAGGGACTGTGTTGTGATTGATAATATAGTGTAGGGGGACTCCTGAGCGATCAATAGCCACCAAATTGTTCTTTGTACTTTCTTGCCACTGTTGCAGAGTGAGTCCAAAATAGAAAGGCACACCTCCGTGACTCTCAATATTAGAGTGTTTTATGTTTGACTCGTAAGTCTCATGGGATGAACTTCCATCAAGATTCTTCACACCAACGTCAAACTTAAATTTGAGTAAATTAAAAAAGTGAAAACCTGCCTCTGCTTCTATATTGGAGAGCTGCTGTGCATTATCTGAGACATACTTTGAGTTGAGGTAGTCCTCTTCCACTAAAGAGGCTCCGGCATCAACACTGGTGATCACGTGGGTTCCATAGTCCACCACCAACTTCTCAGACAGATACGCGGCATTCTTTGTCTGGTTGTTTTCAATGGCATCTGCTATGTCTTTGACTTGCTGAAGAAAACGTGAGTCCAGTGTGAAGTCTGGGTTTGCCTTCACTGTGTAGATGAAGTCACGCACCTTTCAGGAGAAATAAGACAGTTAGGTAAAGTGAAAACTTTCAAATTTGAGTTTCAAACACTAAAATTATTGTTTCATTTGATCAAAAATGTCTAAACTAGCTAAACAAATTTTGTTTATTAATACATATTTTTAATTCATGTTACTTATAGGCAGTGTTGGGAGTAACACGTAATAAAAGTAACGAATTACAGTAATGCATTACTTTTTGCTGTAACGCAGTAATGTAAGGCATTACAGGGGAAAAAATAGTAATATTTTACTCAGTACAAATGTGAGTAACGCGCGTTACAGTGTTTTTTAACCTGGATTGAAGTGGTGGGTTTTTCTTCATACAAATTCGCTAAAATCACCTCGATATCAGCAGCGGTGAAACGCCGGAGATGCGCCCTCATAGACCTTCAGGTAACCGCGGGCGAAAGGACTGACAAAGAACTCCACGCTGTTTAGACCTGGTTTAGACCTGGGTCAGTTCTGGTTTAGACCTGGTTTACACTCGTCCCTCCCTCTATCGCAGTTCACTTTTCGCGGTCTAGCAGATTTTTTTTTTTTTTTTTTTTTTTTTTTTTTTTTGTGCAATTTTGCATGCCATGTTTTTTTTTTTTTTTTTACATTGTATGAATGCGTATTGCGTTCCTCCCGCTGCGTCCTGACTGGCCAAGGGACTCCTGTCTCCTGTACAGTACAGTACAGAATGTGTTCAGCTGCCAAATTTAAATACATGTTCAATCTGTATCAGTGTGATTCTGAAGTGCTGTACGGTTGCAAGTTTTCTCCCCGACGAAACCCACACAACGTCGACGAAACGTTCTGCACCGACAAAGGCTCCTGCACTCGCACCCAAAAGGCAGAGGAAGATGCAAACCATCACACAAAAAGTTGGACTTCTGGACACGCTGAAGGAAGGTAGAAGTTACGCGCTGTAACAGACTCTTGCACCGGCTCGGGTACCTGCAAATAGTTGCTGAAATCAGGGCCGCGAGCCCGAACAGCAGGGTGACAGCCGCTCTTACCTCCGTGAGGTGCGGAGCAGAGCCGCTCCTTTCTCCTGCGGTCACCTTCGAGCCCGTCCCTACAGTGAGTCCTGTTTTAGTCCTAGTTCAGTTCTAGTTTAGTCCTAGTTCACTTCTGGTTTAGTCCTGGTTCAGCTCTGGTTTAGTCCTGGTTTAGACCTGGTTTAGTCCTGGTTCAGTCCATATACAGCGCAAAAGTTATTTTGGTGAGAGTAACTTAAAGTAATGCAATAGTAATGTAATGCCTTACATTTTAAATGCAGTAATATTGTAATGTAACGAATTACTTTGAAATGACAGTAATAGGTAATAAATAACGCATTACAGTTTCAAAGTAACTTGCCCAACAGTGCTTATAGGCTATAAGATATAAAATGGTGTCACTAAACTGAACTACCTAATATGCAAACTGGCTTTTGACTACATTGTTATTGTGATATTTAGGTAAGCAGACAGTATAGTGTTATGTTGATGTATAAAATTGATGCACAGAGATGGTAGATCAAAATGTATCCTTTTCCCTATACAAAAATAGAGTTTTAATATTTGAATCATGAATCACTGCTCCTCCTGACCCTGTCTGTACCTCGAGCTGCAGTGAACTACAACAATGATTTTTAATTATGTTTTTTTCCCCACGTTCTGCTTTCAAATACCTACACGGCACTGCGTCAAGGGCAGTGAGTTAAAAGTTGTAATACTATGTTAACGTAAAACATACCTGTACTCTTGCTGTTTGAGATGAATTTTTGATCTGTGCCGTTTTCATCCTCTGGTTTTCTATTGAAAATTTGCCATTCAAGACCATAAGAAAGGATGGTTCTGCATTTATGGATTTACAGGTGACACTCTTCTGGTCTGTCCATGAGCTGATGATCTCTGAGCTGGTCTTTACATCCGTCTCCTTTTGGGGGATCACAAACACCTCGTCAGGGATGAGGTAGTCCCCGTCCTCTGTGGTCTGACACTGGGAGTAGTTGAAGTTCATCACTCGACCCATGTCTATGTTCCTCAGGTTGTCCCAGCCGCCACCCGGTAGGACCTCCAGCGCAGTGAGGTTTTTAAATGTCCGACAATGAGTAAAGCTGCTGTATTGATCAATGGCCAGAGTAAAGACGGTATTAAAAAGGGCGACCAAAAGAAAAAATAGTAGCCTCTTCATGGTGGCAGCCGGCGTCAGGGCAAAAAAGACTCCAACAACTGAAGTTACCTTAAATTATTCGGAATACTGGCAGCCACTCACTGCACCAGAACTGTACGTATTAGTGGTGTAGTGTGGGGTTAGTCCGGGCCAGTAGATGCCTTTATAGTTGTTACTCGGTTTCATTTTACCTGGGAAAATTGTCTGCTGTTTCCTTTTACTGATAATGACCTATCCAAATACAGACTGGTAAACAAATACCTATCTAATAATAGTTACTATCACATACTGGGCTGGTTTAAATGAGAATAACAATTTTCATTATATTTATCTATGAACAGCACATTACACTGTTAGTTGTAAAAACTGTTCTTGTTGTTGAGTTAGTAACATTCATTCTAATACAATATGAATGCAATAAAAACAACACAATTAATAGAAAATAAAAGTATGTCATAGATGTTATGTTGCTTAACCAGTTTTTTAGTTGTTTAGTAGAGCAGTGACTCAACAAGACAAAACATTTGACACTTGTGTGGCTTGTCTGTTTGTCATACTTTTTATGCATTACAACTAAGTGGATAAATAAATATTCATAATTATATACAATTATATATAATTACACCTGGGTGATTATCATTCGAATCAAGTGATTTTAAACTGAGCATATCGACATTTGAGAGACTCATACAGTGTAAAAAAATGGATAAGCTGGACTTGTGTGCTTTCTCCAGTGTTCTACAGATGTTGTTTGTTTCTGTTAGAGATAAAGAAAAGCCTTAACCCACCCCGCCTCCTGCAGCTGGAGATATCAAGTGCATCAGATGCTTTTGATGTTGTTTGGACAAACCGTGTATTAAGTTTATTTCAGAAGTAGCAGAGATGATTGAAAATTGGCTTTATTTTGTTACCTATATTTGTATATGGTCAATTATTAACCTAAGGAACAGTTTCACTTACTTTCAGTTAATATTTCCCACTTCCTGCATACTGTGCGTCACATTGATCCTATCAGCATTCAAAGTAGAGCGCCAAACAGATGCATGGGAGAAGCATGTACACTAAAGTCTACGGGCAGAAGGCTGGAAACACTGTCAGGTTTTACAGTGTAGACCTGGATTCTGGCATTTGATGATAAACCCACACATGAACTTTGCCTTCTTGTCAAACTTCTTGTTTTTATGTTATCTTTTACTTCCACCTGTGCAGTGTTTTTATTTTTACATTTTTCTTTAATGTTAATTTTAAAATTAACAAACAAGACCCGGTACAAGTATCAAGATGCATTTATTACATTTTCAGCAAGTAAAAATAATGACCATATTTACTGGTCGAAAACGAGGTTAAGACAAAAGTTCACTAGACATCCATGGAGTTTGGACAAGAATAGATCGAAAAATGGCAAAGCAAAAGAGATGTTCAAGTTAAGTCATTGCAGTCTACACACAGTCTTTCATAGGTGCCATCACAGAAGCTCTCCTGAAGTAGGTTCTTTGGAGAACTTTACTTCTTGGCAGCAGCTTTTGGTGCCTTGGCCTTCTTGGGAGCCCGAGCCTTCTTGGGAGACTTGGGTTTCTTCGCTTTAGGCTTCTTTGGGCTCTTAGCTTTCTTAGGCTTCTTGGCCTTTTTAGGACTCTTTGCCTTCTTTTTAGGTGACTTCTTCGCTGCTGGTTTCTTGGCTTTCTTGGCTTTCTTGGCTGCTGGCTTCTTCTTCTTTGCCACCTTCTTTGGCTTGGTGTTGATCTTCAGACTCCCTTTGACTTTGGTCAGCTTTTTCTTGGCCACTAAACGCTTGACTGCCAGAAGAATCCTGCTGTTATTCTTCTTGATGTCGTAGCCTCCATCCTTCAGGACCTTCTTGACAGCGGTCAGAGAGAGACCGCCAGTAGCTCCAGCCCCAGCAACAGCCCTCACGATCAGGACCTGGAGGGTAGGACCCCTTTTCTTCTTGGGGGCTTTTGGCGCCGGAGCAGAAGGCGCGGCTGCATCTGGAGAGGACATGTTGGTGGAGAAAGTTGGGGACACTCAGAGTAGTGTGTAGTTTTGTGTCTGGGCCTCAAGGTTTATCAAGCCTACATGAGAACCGTGAAGAGTCAACCCCACCCCTCATGCGACTCTTCATCTGGCGCCCAAAATCTTCAGCTCTTTGTGTTTTCTCCTGCTGCATTATTCTGTACAAATCAAGAGTGAAGAATGGAATAATCAACAGGTAAGTACATCATTGGGAAGCCCGGGTTCAAAACTATATTCTTATCTTTTTTCTCAGAGGTCTGACCTAATTTGAGATTGTTTGTGTTGAATCCGGTTGCTCTCATGGTCTCATTGACATTTGTGTTTTGAACATTTCACAACTTTATATTAATTAACTTACCTAAATACATACTGTTTTTCATAAATATGATTTACTTGCATCTTGGCTAACATTAGAACCAAAAATTGTATTTGAAAATAGTATTTTACAGAAAATATTTAAACCTAAAGTTGGTCAAAGAAACACAGCTGTTTCAAATCCAACCTCAAAAAAGTGTTAAAAGATAAGAAAACAACATAATCAGTTATAAAACATGTCTTAAATGTGCAGAATTGTTGGTTGCATTTATTTTAAACTGTAAATTTGACAGATAATTAAGTGTTATTTGAGAATCGTTGCAGTGTGTGTGGTGGACAGACTGTGGCCAGACCATTTCTTATCAACACCCAGAAGTGTGTGTGTGAAGACAAGATAAGTCTGACCGTCTGGACTTTATTATTAACATTTACCTTTTTTAAACACTGCACAAAGAACGATACAAGATCTTATTGTCTCAAGCACTCATCCCTTATTATATTATATTGTTTTCCTGGATAACTCTTGAGTTTACACAGTGTTATGACAGCTGTATACAATTGTTCTACAAGATTTATTAAAAGGTGGGCAGAATAAATACAGCTGTGAATATGCTTTTAAAAACAGACCTTGAAACAAATTATAATGATCATTTTTTACACCTTTCTGTGTGGATGCTTTTTGCTCTTGCTTGAAAGAATTAAACACAATTCTTTCAGGCTACTTTCTAAAGAATCTGAAGAATAAAAGTGTAAATCTGTATTAATGTGTTAACTTGTAGATTCTTAAATCCGAGTCTTTGGTTCCCTGGAGTCAGAGGTGGGGAGTGTCGTATGTATTGTGCAGTGTAACTGTACTGTTGCTTGGAGTCCAACTTTTGTTTACTCTTTCCACTGTGAGTCAAGTGACAAAAGCTTCATGCTGACATTGAATTATTAAAATATTTGCTTTCTTTGTACTGTTCCTTCAGATATGTAGTTTCTCATTTTTGCAGTCTATTCTTTGAAAATACGTTATTATTATTTTCTTTAAGCCATTGCCATTTTAGTCATTCCATTTCCTCAAATTAAACAGGGTATTTGACTACTCTTATGTAATACTTTTCCCATACTACTACATACATAGACTGCATACTTTGTACCTCTACCATTTAGGCTATTAGTGCTTGAAGTAGCGGTAACTCGTACTTGAGGAACTCTAAAATATTTGCATGTTCAAAATACCTCATACCATATATAGTTATACTTCCTGTACAGCAGTGACCTTTAACCCACAATCAAGGGACAGCTACAGCACCCCAGCTCAGATTATCATGCCTTAAATTATCATTAGACAGCCATCAGGTTAGGTAGCACTTTCATAAGATAATATTAATATGGTTACGCAAAGGAACAACTGATATTATAATGAGTTTGTGTGGGAGTAAAACAGAAGTGTGCTGCACATGACTTATTTATGAGGAAGAGAAACTTGTGTTCAATTTGTTAAAACGGGAAGAGCACACCACATGCACCTTGTAATAAAGAGAAGTTCTGCAATCTGAAATGTAACACAAGTGCAGTGACACCAAGAATCCTTTAGAGGGCACACTGACATCAAGTTCACTCCCACATCCTACACAGAGTTTAGTGCATGTTTATTTTGTTATATTCCTTATTTATTTTTTAGTAGTAGTAGTAAAGTAGCCTTTTTATGTATGTATTATAATATATTGGATTGTTTTTTGTATATTCTTTGCTGCTTCTACAGCACTTTGTAAACCTTGTTTGCTTTATAAATAATGATTTACTCTTATTCTATTATGATTATTAAATAGAACTGTGAATTTTGTTTAGCATAAATAATGTTGATTAATTAGTCTAAAAAAAAAGCAAACTATGAATATTTGCCTGTCGTTAAACACACTAAAACCTACACTCTAGCGCAGTAGTTTTTTGCATCTGTATACTTTTTCTTTCAGTTCTGTTACATGTATTTTTGTTTAGCCCAGAGTCACAACACGGGACTTAAAGGTGCTATTTCTAACTTTTCTGGTTTTTGTTTTGCCTAGAAACTTCCACATAAGGGATTTTTGGTACTAAAACAAAACAAAAAGTGTATTGTTCAAAAGAGCGTTCTCCTCTCAAACTGTCTGACTCACCTGTTTGCCTACATGGCGATGGATAAATGTAATGCCATACTGTGGAAATTTCATGACAAAGCAAACCTCAGAAAAGTTACATAGTGCACCTTTAAAGTGTGTAAAGTTCAAAACAGTTTTCTGATTGTCATAAATAAAATAAAATACATGTGTTAACTTTAAGTTGACTGTATATATTTTTCAACCAAGACATGTGTTGTTGTTTTTTTTCTTCACTAGCTATTGTATAAACCTGCTGTGCCACAGGGTTGTTGATAGAAGATACATGTGTTCATACGAGATAACAAGCTCCATCCATCTGGCTGTTAGAGGATGAGATGATCTATGTTATAATGTTTTTCCCACTCTGTTTTTAAACTCCATACTCCTTCACTAGAATAATTTTTGATGATTTCAGCCCTGAATTTGAACTTGGAAGTTGCAGCTATTGTTTTAGCCTCATTGAAACTGCTTCACTCCTCGGTGCAACTGCAGATATTAGATTCATTTCTATTGACACTGACTGTACAAAAGGCTAAACTAAAATATTCAAAACTAAAAGCAACAACTTATAAAAGCAGCCTATTCAAATACTGAAAGTAACTAGGCTACTTTCACTCTTGAACAATTTTCACTGTTTCCCAGAAGCACCTGACCTTATCTACTGCAGTGTGATAAAGGCTAAAAATTTTACCTTTGGGAGCTTATGAGGAAATAAAACCCACTAGTCATCTCAAAAGGCTGACTTACATTAAAACTAGACTAAAATACATGTATTTTAACGCAATAGCAAATTGAGGTGTAGGCCTAATTGGAATAAAGTAGCCTATATATTGTTCCAGAGGTGGGGACTTGAGTCACTATTTTTAGGATTTGAGACTTGACTTGATAAAATGGACCAAGGCTTGGGACTCAACTTGGACTTGAAGATCTGTGACCTGAGAAGACGAGAAGCACTTTTAAATCTGAATTATTTATTCTGACCATAATAATTTACACCAAGATCTTGTCAAGACATTTAAAAAGGAAAAAATAATTAAATGAATGTCTACAACACTTATCTACTCTATAAATACTCATATATTTGGATACTGTTACATCATGAGCCTCCCCACCATATTGTGAGCTTTCCAATCATATCGCAATAAATATCGTACCGTGAGGTTTATACCGTGACGACATCGTATCATGAGACTTGGATATCGTTACACCCCTACTTCATAATCATCCTGGGTATATATCACAAGACAGTAATTATTTAAAAAAATAAATTAATTAAATTAAAAATTGCTCACTGACCATTGTTGATTTTTCTTTCCTTACCAGAGGGGTACTAACAATTTTGTCCACAATCTGTACATCACAAGTTAAAGTGCTGAATTCACAAATATGCACTAAATCAGCTCATAGTATGATTTTTATTTATTTTTTATTTTTTAATAATTACTGTCTTTTGATATATATATGATTTAAAATATATTTCCAAAAAGAGTGTCGTCATGATTGCCAGGACTAAGGAAGATCAAAAGTTAAGCTTCCGCTCTTTTTATTTAAATGAGAATCAGCTGACTAATGTAACAAAAACAACATACTTGGGCCATATAGAAATGACTCCTGTGATGATGATGACATCCAGTGTCAGTGCTGCAAACTGTATTCACAAGCAAATATGCTGGCACGCAAATTCCACATGTGTACAAACGATGTTAAAGCGACTCTTTTTGGATCGTACTGTACCCCACTGTACACAGATCATCTATGGTGTAATTACAGCAAAGCAAAGATGAATAAGATGAAGGTGGCATATAATGATGCTCTCAGAATACTGCTAAAGACTCCAAGGTGGAAAGTGCTAGAGCTTTGTTTGTCACTGCAAATATTCCCACGTTCCTGGCTCTAATCAGGAACCTCATGTATAATTTTATGTGTAGGTTAAACGAAGCAAGAAATGAAATTATAACGTGCTTGACTGATATTAAGGAAAGTGACACCCAATATTACTCTGATTTCTGGAAATGCTGAAAGAGCCAGGTGTATGTATTTTAACTCCACCGGACCTTACGTAACAGCTTTTTTTTTTTTTTTTTTTTTTTTTTTTTTTTATGTGTGTGGGTATGTGTAGGTGTATGTGTGTGTGCTGGTGGGTTTATATATGATTGTGGGTGTGTGTCCTTCTGTGTACGCTTTGGACCCTGAGTCTGTAAATAAAGTTAAATACATATACCCTGGATGATTATGAAGATGTCAGACGTTGTTTGGAAAAAATATATATAAATAAATAAATCAGTGATATGTATTACAAGTTAAATGTCTTTGAATGTGTCGAATATCTAAGATCCGATATCAAACCAGTTCAACCGCGGTTTGACTTGTCAAGTTGGATACAGTCATTTTAAATTAGGTAGATGTTTGTTTTGTTTTTCCCCCCAGTCTATACGATAATTCATCCCCTGTGCACAATTTAACATCTTCCGTGTGATTAGATTAGGTCTACAAAAACATTCCTCTCTGGCGCTTGACGAAACCACGTGCCTAAGGTCGTTACGCACGGTGCGTGACGAGGGGCCGTAAACGCCGCTGCTCTGAGTCTGAGACCTGCTTTATCACGTCGCTGCTGCAGTTTTTTTTTTTTTTTTTTTTTTTTTTTTTTTTGCGCATGGATCATGTGACTGTGTGATCACCACAGACTGACTGACGGTGCGAACTTGTGACCGGCGCTCGCAGCTGCACAGGCGGACGCTGAACTGCTCAAAGACATAAAGATCCAGAAGTGAAGCTTCCTCACTGACACAGCATCTCCTCCATCTCCTCTGCTGCTCAAACCGACAAGATGGACTGCGGAATTATCACCTCCAAAACCGTTCTCCTCTTCCTCAGCTTGATATTTTGGGTAAATAGACCTTTACCTTATATATATATATGTCATTTCCTTATATGTTATGTAGGCCAAAGTTTAGTTCAAAGTTGAAGGCTTTAGCGTTCTAAAAACTGAAAACAGACTGAATATCCTGCTCTTATCTGACATAACAAGCAATTTAACAACGTATACTGATCAAATCTAGTTTTAGTCTATTCTTTAATTGTAAATAAGAAAGAAAAAAATGAGGTTAACAAATGGTCAGCCAATCTTTGATGATTCAATGTGGCAGCTTCTGAGAAACAGTAGACTCTATCAAATCATGTTAAGTAAAGTAAATAATTCCTATTGAATAAACTAAACTCAGCTGATAAGTTTCATAACACAGTGTTGTTGTTCGTGATTGCTTTTCTAAACTTTGGTTAGAAGCTACTTGGATATTAATTGCGTTATATTTTCCGTTTGTAAGCAAATTAACCACACACAGAAATCATTGTTTAAATTTAAATATCACATGTCATGCCTCTTGCTTCCTCTTTTTGTATAATGTATTTAAGAAACATTTACAGTAAGCCTACGCCTCACAGCTAGTCAGAATTCAGACGAATACTGACTCATAAAATGCAACAGAAATAACTGATTCAGAACTACCCCTGACACTATGCGGATGTGTGTGGAGAGAGAAGATACTTGGCATTTTATCAAGAACTTTTCTCAAGTAAATCATCGTGTCGGTTTCTGTTTGACTCAGTTTGCTAACAGTGATTTTCCCTGTTTACGTGACAAAATTGGCTTCAGTAAGGAGCCCACTGTCACGGCCGGTTTGGTAATTGTATTAAAAAATGAGAGAGGAGCAAGTCTGCCTCTGCTTATTTGCAAGGAAAAACTGTAAGAGCGAAAACACACACGGGTGTTTCTCTGTAGTCAAATATCTACTTTATTTTATACCCCTCCGTGATCTCGTCTCTCCGTCTGTTTTATTGACTTTTATTGACCAATAATCATGAAGCGATAAGAACAATCGGGTCACGAGGATAAAAGATGAGAGCTGTGTAAAAAATAAAACATTGCATCAGTAAATGTTTTAATCTTGAACTATGAGACTGTCCACTTTGGCAAATTTCAAGAACAGAATTTGGTCCTATTACACAAAATGGACAAAATGAACTATTGTTACCTCCTTGAAAACAGACCTGGAGTTGTGTTTTGCTTCATTCACATGTTTGAGTAATTATGACATATCAAAAGCTCAAAATGCTCTGTTCCACTTTGTGATGTCAATAAGGAAGTGGTAGTTTTCAAGTTAACTTAGCTACCTTTTACTTTTCTTCCATAGAGATGGGTAATAATCAGGACAGAAATCATCCAGATGATTCAAGTGAAGGTGTATGGAGTTTAAAAACACAGTGGGCACTTAGTTTGACATCACAAGGTGGAACAGAGTGAGAAGAACTCTGTGTGTTTAACCTACAGTATGTGAATGAAAAAAAAAAACACAACTTCAGGTCTGTTTTTAATGATGAAACAACATTATAACAAATCAGAAAATTGTGTAAAACGGTCCCTTTAAGAATAATATGTACTACTCTATTTGATGGCAAAGGAGAAGTTCAATTTGTCAACTGGACAAAAGTTGATTTATTCGACCAAATAAACTTTTGTCCACTTGACAAATTGAATTTCTCCTTTGTCATGGATTCTACCTGGATGACTCAGGGATTTTTTCACATAATCTACTTGATGCCACAGTTTCTGATAATGATACCATAATAATAATTAAGTTTAGAAATAAGACAAACATACATTTTATTTAGGGTTGTTAAACAATCTTACCCCATAATAGACTTACACTTAGACCTAGACAAACGTCATTGATCCACAAGGGAAATGATTTGGACACAGTAGCTCGCACATCACAATATAATATAATAAAAAAGCCAAAATATAAATAGTAATAATAAATTCTAAATCAGTACCAAAAAAGAGCAAGAGACTGGAGTCAAATAGGACATAATCAACAACTATAATAAACAACTAGATGCCACTAAACTAGTCTAGATTTTCAGAAGTAATATGATCACACAGATATTTTTTTTTCCTTTATACTGTATAAATTATGGCTTTGTAAATGGTAAAGGATTCAATAGTTTACTGTGTTTTACTATTCACTTTAAGAGTGTAGCTTTTGTGTTATCAAAGTTGGTATTGAGTATTAAGCTTTTGAAATGTAGTTGTGTTTATTTATCTCATCACAATCACGTCTAATAACAGTGATGTGATGTGATGTATGTAATAAAAGTACTTAACATTTACGTTTTTAACCTCTTATACAATATCTTATCAAAATATACCAACGGTCAAATTGTTAGTATGTTATTGATGGCTTTTACACTAAACTAAAAGCTAAAGTTGGTAAAGTTTAGTGTGTTTTCCTCTGAGAACGACACATTACTCCACACTGCATCGCCTGATCTGTTCTAGTATATCTGAAATAGTTGTGGTTTTCTTCATTGAGTTGATAGCGATGTGACCCTGCTGATGTGAGGGCACCTGTTTGTAGTGTGCCTTATGACTCACTCCCTGAATCACTCCACAGTCACGGGATCCCTCTAGTCCAGTCCCCGCCCCCCTCTCCACCACTCACCCCCTAATCTCTCCAAAAATCTCATATTATCCCAAGAAACAGAACAAAGAACCTTACACAGCCTATAGTAGCTCACGGACTGTGCTGCTATGAAGAAAATTAAGAATGACTTGCTAAAAGGAAATATAGAGCAAACTTATGGCAAAGAAAGGGCCCATATTACGCTATTTTCTGATCTATGTTATAATGTTTCCTCATCACAAACAGACCCAGAGTTGTGGTTTGTTTCATTCACACATGTTCAAAGGGACAGTTTCAAATTTCGGACATAGGGCCTCCTTTCCTAGTCTGATTCATCAGCCGGTTTCACTTCATAGAAACTGTCTGACCTCACACTTTTAAAATTTGTTTGCTCAACGGTAGGCAGGTATTTTTATCATTTAACCAACCATTAACCATAACCATTTAACCATTTGGTCGTGACGTATGTAATGCACCGCTAACGGGGCTAACTGGTATATGAAGCTTTTCTCAAATCCCGTAGGAAGAAGGGCAATAACGTCTTTCATCTTGATGAGAGACACCAAACATTCACTTTATTCCGACTTTAAATCCTCGATCTTGGGAATCGTTGATAACACTGAATATATGACTTTTCACTGATTGATTGGTGCCCGAACTTGCACTTCCGGGGTTTTTGCGAACCGTCTAGTGTGTTTTGATTCCTGATCTAATTGCTGTAGAGAAATGAAATTGAGCGGAGGCACTAGGTGGCGCCAGCCTGGCTAGTAGCGAGTTGTACTTCCCGATAGAAAGCTTGGAAGCAGCGGACTGATATATGAGAAAATAGTCCCTCAACATGCAACAAATCATGCGACGCAAGGTTAGTTTTATTTCAAACATTATTCTGTTAACAGAGACATTCACATCGACAGTCTTGTGTAATAATGGATTATCTTTGGGTGTTTTGTGGAGTGGGTAAGACTGTTTTTAGTGGCAGGATAACTATGGCCATTAACATGCACTAGTCTAGCACCAGTGACCTCTGCAAATACAAGGACTGGATGGAATATTTTAAAAAGTGTCTCCAACACTGTGGCTCACTAGGAAATGAGGCCCTATGTCCAAAACTCCAAACTGTCTCTTTAACACATAAACCCTGCATATTAAGGCTGTGTTCTTCTCTCAAACAGAAAACACCTTGTCATGTGGTAATACAGGAAATGCTTCATTGTTTTTTTAAGCTCCATACACCTTCACTAGAATCATTTGGATAATTTCAGTCCTGGAATTGCTAATCTCTAATAAGATAAAGGTAAAAGATAGTTGATAACTTAAAAAAATACCACTTCATGACATCACAAAGTGGAACAGAGACTAATAATTACAGGTTACTCAAATGTGTGAATAAAATAAATCCAGGTATTTTAACTTCTTGGGTTCTTGGGAAGTTAAAGTATATAAGAAGACAAAATGAACATCTTTGGCTCAACTCCAGCTATGTTCGTGATGAGGTAACATTACAACATGACTTAAGGCTTACACAAGTCAGTTTATACATTTTGACAATGCACCGTTAACCATTGTATTTAAGATTTTACTAAAACCTTGCTTAGTTTGTTCTAGTTTAAAAATTTTTATTTTGGAGAAGTTTTTAATTTTACTTCCTCTTTGGACATGGACAACAAATATGACCACTGTTACCTAGAAACCATAACGTTAATAAGGGCCAAAACTTGTCTCAATTGCACAATAGTTATCTTAAGACTTAATAAAAGAAATGTCAACTTTTATTTTTGTTAAATGAAGGTTCAAAGTGTCAGAAAAATGCCTTCCTTGTGCATAAATACTCCCTGTATCTTGGATGGGATTTTTGTTTTGAGAGATAGAGGTAGGATTTGTATTCTGTTTAACTGAACACACCACAACTTCCTGTGTTGCTGGGTTTCAGGTTACAGCAAGGCCAGTAATATTTCATACAGATGGGGGTAGCTAAGTAGTGCCTTTGCTCAATTTCATTTCTTTCCAGTGACTAGGTCAGGAATCAGAATACATTAGAGAGTTTGCAAGAACCCCGGAAGTTGTAGATCGAGCACCGGCCAATCAGCGAAGAGCTGTGAAGCCATGACGTCAAACTCAAGTGCCTGTCTGGGTCCCTTTTGTGGTACAGCACAACAGTAAACAAAGCAATCGAGATGGATGTAGACGAAGACATTCTGTGTTGGCAACGATTCCCGAGATTGAGGATTTAAAGCCGGAACAAAGAGAATGTTTGGTGAATTTTATCAAGGGGAAAGACGTTATTGCCCTTCTTCCTACGGGATTTTCCGCATTACATACATATTGACCAAACAGCAGCGATTGGTTAAATAAAAAAAGTACCCACCTACTGTCGAGCGAACGAATCCTAATGCTGCAAGGTCAGACGGTTTCCACAAAGTGAAACCAGCTGATGAATCAGGCTAGAAGCTGAGGTGAATATGGTTGAAATGCTGATTTTTTTTTTTTTTGTTATATAGTGAGCTCTTTGGTCAAGTCAGTAATAAACCTTTTCTAATTTAACATTTGTGCATTTATCTTTTGGATATTTCATGGCAAAGCACAATATAATCAACATGAAAATCTGTCTATTATCATATTTGAGAATCTGAAAACCACCAATTGTTGTATTTTCCTTTTTTTTTTCCCAACTGCTATAAAACTGTAAGTATTTACCACAGCTACTATCACATCAAACAAAGTACAGCAGTAATTGAACAACATGAAAACCTGTCATACAGTTTATCGCAGTTGAGTGATTCATTGTCTATGGTTGGATAAACACCAACAATGACGTATCTCATCATGTGCCTTTCCCCCAGAATTTCCTCGTGTATTTTTAGTCTTCTGTATTTGGGTTTTAGGTAAAATAATTACTTAAATAATAATGGCTCAAACATAAATTATAATCAATACTTGAAAACAAACTCCTGCTTTCCATTCTCAGCATTAAACAATCTCAAAATAAAGTGCAATCATTAGGTACACTATGTAATTTCTGGTGCATGGTTCTGCATTTTGCTTGTCTCTGTGGATTTGTTTTTACTTTTTCTAGAATGTTCCACAGTATGACATTAAACTCAGCTTACAGTTATTCAATTACAGGTGTTACAATGCTCAAAGACCCTGACAAACATACATTCTTAAGAGGGGTCACCTGTCCTTGGCCTATTAACGTTATTTGCTTGTTTCTAGATAAATGTTTAATACTAAATACTTTGGGATATTCCAGACAAAGCAATAACATCTCTATGGAGAAAAGCAAGTGCACTAGTTAAGTCATTATTGGGAATGATTGAAAACAAAATCTGAAAAGTAAGTAGGAATAGCAACACTCTGTTTTTACTCTTAAAAATCCAACTCGACCGCGTTCCGTTCTAGTAGCGCTTGTTTAAATAGCTGGTTGCGTGTCACCCTGCACGAGTGACAGGTCAACAACAGAGCACAGACAAAGCCGAGCATGTGACAGCGGTTAGCGAATCGGAACTGAACTTGAAAGGGAGGCTCCTGCTTATTCTGCGAACGCTCAGTCGATTCTCCGATAACAGACACATCCAAGCCAATGTAGTCTTCAAGCTTAACAGTAAAAAAGTAGCTCTCAGCTGTTTTTTGGTGTAAGAAACCTGAGTAACTATAGGATTTGTGAGCTAATAACCAAGTCCCAAACAAACAAATACATTTAAAGATGGGATATTACGCAAAATGTACTTTTCTGAGCTTTCTACCATAACCAGAACTGAAGAAGGAGCTTGGATGATTTGACCAAATAAACTTTTGTCCAGTTGACAGATTGAATTTCTCCTTTGCCATTCCCTCATCAAAAACAATCCTGAAGAGGTTTTAAATGTCATCTGTGCTTGCATGAGTAATTTAGTGATCTCTCTCAGGCCTGAACTTCCCTTACAGTTTTTACCCTCCTTAAGGTTCTTATAGTTAAAAGGTCAGTAGTGCGATGCAAGACTATAAGTGCTCTGCAAAGGGAACAGGTACTCAGGTACTTATTTAACATGTTAATATGTTGTTTTCAGAAAATTGCATTTTCAAAACAATATAGTATGTAACTGTGTTAACAGTTAATACTCCATAGAGGTCTAATTCTAGGCAGGCTGGTGCCACCTAGTCAATTTCATTTCTCTCCAGCAACTAGGTCAGGAATCAGAATACAGTAGACTGTTTGCAAGAACCCTGGAAGTGCAAGTCCAGGCACCGGCCAATCAGCGAAGAGCCATACATTCTGTGTTGGCAACAATTCCCGAGATCGAGGATTTAAAACCAGAACAAAGAGAATGTTTGGCGAATTTTATCAAGGGGAAAGACGTTATTGTCCTTCTTCCTTCAGGATTTGGGAAAAGCTTAATATACCAGTTAGCCCGTTAGTGGCATATTACATACGTCACTACCAAATAGCAGCGATTGGTTAAATTAAAAAAGTACCTGCCTACCGTTGAGCGAACTAATCTTAATGCTGCAAGGTCAGACAATTTCCATGAAGTGAAACCAGCTGATGAATCAGGCTAGTGTAATGCCTTCTCTTTAATGATTTTCTTTTTTTCTCACTAGTCAGCCATATTATCTAAAATGTTTACAGATTGTGTTCAATATGTTCATTAAGTTTCTGCACAGACAGAAAACTCATCTATGTTGGAAATGTAAAAAGCCTTTGGGGAACTGCCTGATATAATCTAAGATGCTTTTCCTAAGAGCTCATTCAGAAATGTTATTGTATTAGCCTAAAACTGGCCCAGGAGAATTGAAATAAACGACTTAAAGTATTCAAAGTTGTTTAGCTTCAAATCCTTGCTGTTGACATGGGTTTTTCACTGACTGTAGCAGCAGTACATAACAAATATTATTTAGACAGAATTGTAATTATCAGAATACAAAATACATACACTATGATTCAATAGGTCATAATATCTGTTCCTTCTTTCATAAAGCTTTTTAAGACTATTGCTGTGGAACCAGTTGAGTGAAAGTGTAAAGTTCCTTGTCTGTCTTTCAGGTGTTGCCACAACAAATATCTTCCCCGATAATCATCTTTGACATTATAAACTAAATATGTTAGTAAAGCAGTATCACAGGACAAATGGTTATGATGATTTATACACTTTATGTTCAGATCATTGCCCTTCCAATCTATTTTAACTTAAAGCCATAGTATGTAAGCTTTGCCTTTTTTTATTTTTTTCATTGTAGATGTTTTATTGGACTAAAAAAACATAGAAAAACATGTGTCCTTCTCTGAGCGGGCCTTCATCTTCACAAAACCATCCCTTATTTGGCTTCTTCTGTTATTAGTAGTAGTAGTGCCTTTGCCTTTCCACAATATGGCATAAAACATATCTGTCCCCATTGAGAATGTTCCTGAAGTATGGTTTTAACTTTCTGTTTCCATGGAATCATGCAGACGATACCGAAAGTTACATACTATCACTTTAAAGTTAAACATAGAGTTAAGGTAATTTTATTTTAGGTTAATTATGTAGACTATACGTAGTTGTTGATGCGGTGAAATGCAAAATACATTTAGTTTTCTCGTGTTTTACGTATTTGTGCTAAGAATGTAATGTTTTGTTTTCCAGGCTGCAGGAGCGTTTATGGCCTATGTTGGATCTTACGTGTTCAAAACGTATGACAACTTTGACAGTTTCATCAACGACCGTTACACCCTGATCCCAGCGGTCATCATCATCGGCATCAGCATCGTCATGTTCATCTTTGGCATTTTGGGATGCTGCGCCACAGTCCGGGAATCCAAATTCGGCCTTAGCTGTGTAAGTATAATAACAGTACAACATAAAATATAGATTATTATTCATTAATTTATCAGAACGTCAGAGTTTATTCACGTGTTTCAACTTAACATAAGGACCAGTGCTGCAGCAACAATCAAAACAAAAAGGGTCCTCAAAATGGCTTCTATAAAAAGGAAATGTCATGTGACTAATACCAATGAATAATTTGTGTTCATATCAGTACATTTGAAAAGAACATAGTTTATTTAACGTTAAAATCGCCCCCAAAAAGCATAGGTAATATGGTCATAGTTTGTGTAAGTGGCATGAAATTGACATGAAACAAAAACACAATGAGTTCATGTACAAATAATAATTGGAAATAATTATAAATATTCTACTCAAGCTGTACTTTTTAAACATGTTTTTCCTTTCCTTTCAGTTCTTCCTGATCATCATGGTGATCTTTGCAGCTGAAGTGGCTGCGTTGGTGTGCGCCTTTATTTTCAGAGGCATGGTGAGTGTGGGTTTATGTTGAGCTATGTTCCTGCTCGTCTGGTTTGAGGAGTTTGACGTTGAGAGCCCTGTCCTCATTTTACAGTTGTTTGTGTTTGTTTTACAGTTGCACAATAGCAAAAAAGCATGTGATGTGCAGTTGATCTGGTGACTAATGTAATGACTGTTTGAGATATTTCAATGATGGTCTAATGTGTGCCAACTGGATAAGCCCTAACCTTAGTACCAGGATTTGCGACATAAAAAGACGCCGCTCTAATTATAACCATTCTGAGCACATCTAAACGTAAACTTACTTCTATGTTTGAAAAAGTTTATATTTATCAAAGGCAATATTCAAAAAAATGACTCATAACTTCGAAACACAGACAACACAGTGATAAAAAAGGACATATTTTCTAATTTCCATCCTTTCTATTTCTTTATATAAACACATTAAAGCTTAGGTACCAGACTTTTTTTTTTTTTTTTTATGATTATATCGTTAAGTTTAAGGTAAGAATATGCTAACTTAAGCCTTATTAGAACATATTAGTATTGTTTAGTGATGCTTTAAAATAAGGTTTCTTGGTAAACTTTAAGGCATTACTAAAACGTGGTTATTTGTAGATGGTATAACGCTATTTACTGAGTTTCAAAAGTTTGTCTTTCATAACTTACCTCAAATATAAATGCGTATTGGTTAGTAGGTCACTGATTATAGAACCATTGTGTGGAAAAACATTCTTTTTCAGAGGCTGTAACAATTGTGTTAGTGCGAGTTAAACAGATTAGACTCTGGCTCTGGTCTGGTCCTGACTATGTGTCCTCTCCTGAACCGTAAAGAGAACTAAGAGGAAATGGATGAACGAATGAATGATGCACTGTTTCGTAAACCAATTTTAGAGTTTAATTAGTCTCGTTATTTTAAATGTACATACACGACGGGTCAAAAGTTTTAGAACATCCTAATTTTTCCAGTTATTTATTGCAATTCAAGTCCAGTGAAGAGCTTGAAATGGTACAAAGGTAAGAACTGAACAGCCAGAGGATATAAAAAAGGTCAAAGATACAAAACACAAGTCCGAGCTCTGCCAAAACTACCTCAAGAAAAAAGAAAAAGATGGTAAACTTGAAAACATGAAGTGTCCAGCACAGTCTCCAGACTTAAACCCCATCCAGCTGGTTTGGGATGAACTGGACAGAAGAGTGAAACAACCTACAAGCGCCACACATTTATGGGAACTTCTGCAACAGACTTGGGAAGAACTTTCTGAAGAATTTTTGATTTTCTGTTCAGCTGTTACATCTGCCAAAGGTGGTTACTTTCATGAATCAAAAGTTTAGAATATGTTTTGGTCAACAGTAAACAGTGAAAAACTGGAAAAAGTGTGGTGTTCTAAAACTTTGAAATTCTAAAAAAAAAAAAAAAATGCTACCACTTAAACATTTTATTAACAGAATCATATGTCCTTCTAAAATATAGCGGTGGATAATGTTATGTGTATGTTGTAGTCATGTGAAATTCTCAAACATAAAACACAGACCTGTAAAAAATAATTTGTTAAACACACCAGGATATAACAGTAATAGCAGTACAAATACAATACAGATAGTCAGATTTATTGGTGGAATGTATGGATAGATGTAGTGCCTATGGTTAGAATAGACCAGTATATAGTATAATATATATATATATAGTATAAAGGGCTCCTGGGTAAGAAGAGGTGTGTGCTTGAGGGAGAGGTGGGACCAAATCTTTGTTTTGTAAGTCTCAAGTAAGTCTCAAGTCTTTGACCTCATGTCCGAGTCAAGTCCCAAGTCAAATACAAGCAAGTCCAAGTTGAGTCTCGAGTCACTGGCACGAAAGTCCAAGTCAAGTCCAAATCATCTGCTTTGAGCTTCAAGTCTTTTCAAGTCTTTAAACCAAAGTACTAAATATAGCTTAGATTTTTGCACTTTATATGAATTTTAAACTAAATTGTACTTAAAACTAGTATTTATAGAGTATACAAGAGTTATAGAAATTAATTTAGTTATTTTTTTCTTTTTAAATGTCTTGACAAGATCTTAGTGTGAATCATTACGGTCAGAACAGAAAGAATTCAGATTTAAAAGTGCTTCCCAAGTCTTCTCAAGTCACAGACCCCAAGTCCCAAGTCACTGACCTTCAAGTCCAAGTTGAGTCCCAAGTCTTAGTCCATTTTACCAAGTCAAGTCTCAAGTCTGACTCGAGTCCAAGTCACGACTTGCAAGTCCCCACCTCTGGGTTGAGGTGAGCTGTGATTCCCTGGAGAGGAGCAGGAGGAGGTCGAGGTCCCGCTCCAGAGTCTGGGTCAAACGTTTATATTATGAATGGTACAGGGCTGCAAGATTGAACACAATCGAATAAGAATCAGAATCGCAATTTGAACAAACACAATTAGGAAATCGCAAAAGCTGCAGGTTTTGAAACGCAATAATTTCCTCCATAAACAAAATATCCTGTCTTATTCTGCATAAAAACTGCAAACACTATAGTTTAGATCTGTACAAACATGTGATTCATATGTATAAGTTTGTATTTCAGTCATTTTTCTCAATTCTAAATGTGAAGTTTGAAGTTATTAAAACATAAATCTAACTACAGTGGCAATGCCTGTCAGAAAATTCACAATTATTAATATATTTTATTCAAAAATTGTTCAGCCCTAGAATATAAAGCTGGTTACTTTTATACTTCTTTTCTATAGTCTATAAAAAAGATAACAGGTTTCTTCTTTTTGTGTGGTTTTCATATCAGATCAACAAGGATCTGGATCGTTCTATGAGTTCTGTTTTTGCGAAGTACAATGGAGAGGATGCAGACTCTAAAGCGGTGGATTACCTTCAGTCACAGGTATGTACAGTCACATGATCACACCCTCTCACCCATTTCCTCCTCCACATTTCCTTTTTACAATGTTGGTTGTTAAACCTTTCACAACAAGCACCACTTAAGAAAATATATGGCTATCTGAGTTCTGAGTATCACCAGATATAGAACAGGACGAATCTAAGTCTAAACTCATAAAAAAAAAAAACAGGTTTAAAATAGGATAACTATTGCTGTACTAGTTCTGAACAAGGACTGGCCTAAAGGAGGACAAAAATATCAATTAAATAAACTTTCAATTGAGAAAATATATTTGAACAGGAGCTTAATCCACATACCACCTGAAGGAGCTTGCAAACTACCAGAGGTGTATGAGCCAACATTTGAAAAACACCACCGTTTATCCTTATTTCACTGAGGGTTATTCTGTCTGTTCATTGTTTAGAGCTGCTGAAGGTTTAAATCAATCATCAAGTAATCAAGATAAGATAGGAAAAATGTTTCTAAGGACCTACTGTATATTCAGCTATTTTCTAATGTTGTTTCTTCCTCAGACACCCACCTTGAGTGTTGTTTTTTTTTCATTCACACATCTTTAACACACAAACTCTGCATATGTAGGCCGAGTTCTTCTCTCAGACAGAAAACATCACTTTGTGGTGTGATAATACATGAAGTGCTGCACTGTGTTTTTAAACTCCGTACACCTTCACTAGAATCATTTGGATCACTTATAGCGTCATAGCTGTTAAAGAACTACCACATGACATTAAAAAGCTTTAGAGATGAACTGAAATATGTGAAAATGAAACAAAACACAACTCCTGGTGTGGTTTTGAGGAGGCAACAGCATTATAACGTGGATTAAAGCTCACAGGAATCCATTTTGTGTAGTGCAGGACCTTGAAGTAAAGCTGTTCACATTATCAATAAGTAACAAATGAATTTCAAGTCACGATCTATCATACAGCTTTTTCCACTCTTGTAGGTAGTGTCTGAAAAACTATAGCTTCATGAACCATTGAGGCCTGCACAAAGCACAAAACTTCAAGTTCAGGAAGCTTCGAAATACTGCCATCTGCTGTGGATTTTAATGTATTACAAAGAATATAAGATTTATTTTAAGCTTTAGTGTATGAACTTTTGAATATAAATTGAGTGTTTCTAAAACTCAATTTTAATACCAACAATTAAATTCAATACTCAATACTAGGGGTGTAACGATATCCAAGTCTCACGATACGATATTGTCATGGTATGAACCTCACGATACGATATTTATTGCGATATCATAGGAAAGCTCATGATATGGTGGGCAGGCTCACGATTAGGGATGGTACGATATCCAAATCACATATTTTCACGATATACATCTCACGGTACGATGTTTGTTGCGATATTTTGTGGAGACTAAACAGCTAAAACTGTTAATATGCTACTTTTTCCTCTTAAAATGCCTTGACAAGACTTAACCCAAAGAACTAAGACTTAAAAGTGCTTAGAACTGTTATTTCTTCTTGTAGTCTGCACTGAAATGGAGAAAAGGATCATGGTCTATGTAGTTTCCTCTGTCTTTTAATTTTTTTTTGCTGTTGCTGCACCATAACTCTTAATTTAAGCAAAGAGACTTGTAATTCGAATATATTGTGATGGTCCACGATATTATTGACATGATATCACAACATTTCGGTTATTGTTACATCCCTACTCAATACAGATCTTGATACCTCAATGATAACACAATACAATTAAAATTTTAACATGAAATAATTGCATTTTCTTTATGTGACCAAGTAGTCTTATGAAGCTTAAGAGCTTTCTAAGACAATTCAGGAAAGGTTAGATTTTTCCCTGTTTATCCACGATACTTTTGACAACCCTACATTTTTAACATTCTACAGCAGTTTTGTGCCATTCCCTCTTTGACATCTATTCCTGTCTTTTGTCATTACAGTTGCAGTGCTGCGGAGTGAAGAACTACACCAGTTGGACCAACACCACCTGGTTCAGCAAAAATAACACAGTGCCTCTGTCCTGCTGTAAGCAAAACTCCACCTCGTGCTCTGGGAGACTGGACCAACTGGACCTGCTCAACACAGAGGTATGTGAAGGACTGAATCATTTTGAGAATATATTACATACATACATTTTTATATTAACTGATAAAATAATACAAGAATCCATGCATTTCAGATAGTGTTCAGATAGTCACGATACTAAAATTTCAAACTCAATTTCGATACTAGAGAAGAGATACTCAATACCAATTCTCATGATAATAAAAAGCACTCTTTTCTTTCAACATTAATAAGTAATTAAAACAATAGTACTTTCTTTTATCTTACCATGTGGTCTTATATCTGTGTAATCCCTCAGGTAGGTTCCACAGTGGTCCATGGGTGTGTAATAGTCTATGTGCTCTTATACGTGTTCTGATACAGCTCAAGATCATCCTAAAACAGGAAAGGTTCATTTCTGTCCTGTGAATGACTTTTTAGTATTTCTACTTTCTGAGATGAGTATCTAGTATTGATACTTTTGGACAACCCCAATTTACAAACATATACATTATGTAGCGGTAACTTCCTGTATATATTTTGTTAAGTGTTAAATGAATGTGTGCACTGTGTTTTCAGGGCTGTGAAGTGAAGCTGGTCACTCTCCTCCATGAGTCCTTGAGCTATGCCATGCTGGTTATTCTGGGATTTGCAATCATCAAGGTACTGGTGCTTCTAACCATTCACAACCACGCTGAGTCACCCTTTATTTTTAGTCTGTCTACATCTCTAAAGCTTGAAATGCTTTGTTCCACATTGTGATGTCATCAAGCGGTAGTTTTCAAGTTAACAACCAACTTTTACCTTTTGTTCAGTAGAGATTGCCACTTCCAGACCTGAAAGTATCCAAATGATTCTAGTGAAGGTGTATGGAGTTTAAAAACACGGTGGACCACTTCCTGTACTACAAAATGACATCACAAAGACGAACAGAGTGTTTTCTGTTTGAGAGAAAAACTCAGCTTAAACATGCAGGTTTTGTGTGTTAAACTTGTGATGAGAAAATAACATTATAACATCAGAAAATATGGGCCTGTCTTTTACATTACTATGTGGCCTAATAATTGTGTAATCAATCAGTCTCCAGGTAAATCTGGGCTTATACTAGTTCTGATTTTAGATCATTCTAATGCTATTCAGGAAAGGTTCATTTTTGTCTTGTGTGTGATTTTTAAAGTTTCAATACTAGTGTAGTTTTTAGTTTTTACTCACACACTTTAGTACAATCTTACCTCTATTTGGTTAAAAAATCACATAAGTCACATGTTTTATGTTGTGCGTGAGCTTTTGGTCTCATTTCCCAATTTAAACATCCACAAATTGTAGCACTTCCTTATACATGTTCGTCACCACAGTCTAATATTTAAATGTCACTTATTACATGTATTAATGAAAAAGACTGATTAAAGATTTAAAAAAGTTACTTCTATATATTTACAATAAAACAACAAACAAAATGCATTATTTTAAGAACAATATACTGCTCAGCAATAATTATTGTTCAGCAAAAATTACACTATAGGGCGTCACCATAGTCTCTTGCTGAGTTTCAGATAATATCACATTTTATTTCCCCCATCAACCCAAAACATGCACATCAGGTAAAATCATCCAACTAAGATCGTCTTGACTAAGCCTAGTGACAAGATCATGAACATGGCTCCTGCTCCTGAGGGGATGCATTGATGGATGGGTCAAATGTAGAGGACAAATGCCGCTACAGGGACAACAAAGTCTCCTTAACCTTAACCCATACACAAATAATATTTAATTCAGTTGTAATCATTAAGGAAATCTGTCTCTTGCCCTCATCTGCGAGTACGGCATCATCACATTATAGAATCTGAAAACTACCAATTAACAGGAGACACATGTTTATTCTGAACACAAATGTTATTGGTGTTGTTTATTTCTATTCTCTGTTTGTCACTGCAGTTCTTTGGAATGCTGAGCGTGTGTGTGATCACCTGCAGATCCAACAACAGAAGAAATGGCTACGAGGCTCTCTATGCTTAAAGAACTCACTTCCTCTTGTCTGCACAAGGTTTATGTAAATAAGATGTGCATTTTTAGTGACGTGTAATTAGAGTATCTTACAATCAAGACACCTATGACAGATTTTTGTACACAGTTCTATGCAGTCTGTTTTGTTTGTCAGTTTCCCAAAGTAATTTTGTTTAATACATGTTAATTTAATAATTGCATCTGATGTGTCATTGTTGTGTGTAATACAATAAATACTTCTTCAAAAAGTTGCTTAAATATTTATAACTGTGAAATGATAAATACAAAGTCAGTTATAATACAATACAATAAGTCTATTGGTGTCTGTGTTTTGTAAATGTTAGATTAAGAAGAAGACTTCTTTTGATTCAACATTTATTCATTAATGAGGCCATTTTAGGATTGTAGTACATTTTTTATCATTCTGTATTTAGCCACACCTACCAATGCTATTTTAGTTGCTGAACATTTTAAATGGCTACAACTTGTAATCTTTGAACCAAATACCTTTCTATAACTGTAAAAATAAATAAAATAGAACCATACACTTATTTCTCAATTATTAAAAAGTTGTGACAGACAGACCTCATCATGAGAAATTACTTGCTCTGCTTTCAACATTTACCTGTAGTAACATCAATTGCACCCCTTTGTGGCTAGACAGGGTTAATGCAGAGAGCTATTTTTGTCTGGAAAAAAAAAAAACATGAGATAAAACCTGACACTACAAGGTAAGCTTTTTACATAATATTACTTCTAACTAAGCAGATTTTTCCCTCAGTTTTTAAGCATTTTTAGCCCCTCCTCCAAAGGCTCTTTACAAACATTTGTTTACATTTAGTTTACTTTTTGTTTTTTTCCCAAATGTGCAGTTATAATACACTTTATATCTGCTGTCTTCTCTGAGGTTTGAACCTGTAAGCCACTAAAAATGGGGCATAAAACACCACCAGACAGACCGGGTGGGGTTTGTTTCTCTTTCTTTCTATTTTCTAAAAACAACAACAACAAAAAATTAAACAATAGCTAAAATGAATCTGCACATTTATGCATACATGGAGGGTCAGAAGCATTGCTGTGTAATTTTCATTCAGGAGAGGCAGAGGCAAAAACTGCAGGGTAGAGACTGTACACCACATAGTTATCAGTGAACACAACTTGTGTCAGCTGTTTCCTACAGTAAAGCGACTCACTTTGACCCTCTAAAATTTTCAAAATGTCAGAGCATTGCACTTACACTTTAGATTCAAGTCAAGACTGTTATTACCATATCTGTGAAATGTGGTGCAATAGTTCAGATGTTAAAAGATTGTTTCTGAGCACAGAAGGCTTGTGGTAAATGACACAGGATGTGGCAAATTTGCAGCAGCCCAATGCTCACTGCCTGAATGTAAACAAACAAGTGAAGAACTACTCTCACCTTCTTAGACCTTTTGCAATTAGACAATATGTCCTGCAGTGTGTAGAGGGCTTTGGTTTATTGTGCTTAAAAATGTCCTTAATGTTAGGGGGCTTGTATTAAACCTCACTCTTACTTGTCCATGGAAATGTTGTTCTATCAGAGTTTTAGGACAGTTTTGAGGTTTGTTGCATTTTTTAGCAGCTTTTGAGCAACTTCCCCTACAGTTTTACCATGAGTTTTACCACAGTATCATCTGCTTTTATCATTATTTTAGCATTACACATAGGGAGGTCATTCATATACAGTGTGAACAGCAGGGAGACAAGAATAGAGTCTTGAGGTCCAACCATGCAGCAAGGCCTTAAGGGAGATTTTACATTTAAGCTTGTTTTCATCCTTTGATGCACACTTTGGGATGGACAAGATAAGATGAACCTAATTGGGAGTAAAAATTGTGTCTATAGCACTAGCATATTTGTTGCTGTCACGCCATCTCTAATATTTTGTCTTTCATTTTGTGTTCCCAAAGTTCCCATGTTAACATTAGTTTTACATATCTTTTAACGCATATTCGTAATACTAATTGTACTAGTGGTGTTATATTTTCTGTTTGTCATGGCACTTCTTAAGAAAGCAGAGCGTGTGTGTAATCATCTGCAGATCAAACAACACTAGGAGTGGCTACAAGTCTCTCTGTGCTTAAAGAACTAATTTTGTCTCACAAACTTAATGTAAATGAGATGTGTGTTTTAAGTACAGTGTAATATTACCAGAGAAAAATAAAATATAAGATCAAATAAAATATGTTTATACATGATTCTGCATTGGTGTCGGATTTGTTGGTCTCCTTAAATGAAAAAAATGCCAAGAATGAACATACATAACCAGTATTTTGCTATTTTAGCATTTCTAAATTCTTGGTTTGAGGAACTATATAGCAACGTCATATTTTAGCCCTTGACTGTCTAGTCCTAATTTACACCTGAAAGAGTTCTGTTATAGACCTAGATTAGATCTGGTCAGAAAGTTGTTTGTTTTTTTTTCCTTTGGAAGTATTTGGTGATAAAACATTAAGAGCACTAAACCAATAATTCAATAAAGAGCAATGGTTATTTTACTTGCATGTCACCGAAACATAACCAACATTGTCACCAACTTATTCTGAAACAGAAACCAAAACTAAACTAAATCTTTCAAACACGTCACTCACACATCCTGGACTTTATAAAGGCAGAAGCTGTGTTGTGGAATGTTTGTTTAAAGGCGTGATGTTTCATGTAACGTCTTGTGCGTCTGGAGAAAATAACATTGAACCTGATGCGTTTTTACACGTTGGTCAGAGAATTATTTAAAGGTAAGAAAACAAATGAAGTCTTATAAAAAATGATGACATTCATATATTTGTGTTTTACATCCTATTTGCTGAGGTTCCTTTCACTGTTTGCAGTTTCCTACTGTTTATTGTAAAATTCATGTCATGACAACATCTGCATAATGACTGGTTGGTGTGAACGTGATATATTAGAATATGAAGTCACAACATTAAGATATGACTATAGAGATGTGTGTAATCGATTGTATTTTTGTTTTCACAGGATTTTCATGATGCAACTATCCCATTTTAATCTGATAAAAGTAAGAAAATATATTTTGATTCCTTGCAAGACTATTATGCTACTAATTTATCATTGTTTTACTGTTGTAATACAAGACACCAAACTTAAATGTCTGTTTATTTACAGTTATTGCTCCCACCAGACTCTGACACAGCACCACTTTCCTTAGAATCTGATCATTTTCCAGACACACATGTAATGGAGGTAAAAACAATACAAAATGAATTAATATTCTCAGTATAAGCTGTTAACTTCTAGAACATCAGAGCCACTGGATATTAGATATAGTTTAGATCAGGGGTGTCAAACATACGGCCCAGGGGCCTGATCCGGCCCTCCAAGACCTTTAATCTGGCCGTCAGCTGATTTTCTACTAAAATATTTTAATTATATTTTCTATTAAAATATTAGTAATTTTCTGTAGTGCTTAGCATAGCAGCATCTCCAATGCCTCTGTGCGTGGCCCCTCCCATCATAGCTGCACAAATGAAGACTTGCCTCTTTCCAAACGCTCTTAAAGGACGATCGTTTTGACTGTTGACTGTGACACCCTCATCAGCAAAATGGCCAAAATGAGAAAAGTGGAGGCTGAGTGCAGGATTTTCCAAGAAAAATTTACTTTTTCCTATTTGCATACAAGTTAATGTTGTGTTGTTCAACATTGTGTTGAAATAGCATTTTTCTTAAAGTTTCAGTTTTTTCATGATATTATAATATTTTGTAAAAGTTTCATCAAAAAAGTTCATCAATTAAAAAAGATTTCTGTAATAGATTTGTGTTTCTCTGCACAAATATTTGAACTTATTGTTATTTTTGGAGTATATATGCCATGAGTTTTCTGATCCGGCCCGTTTGGGATCAAAGTAGGTTGGATAAAGCCCCTGGACCAAAATGAGTTTGACAACCCTGGTTTAGATAAATGGTAGATACAGGTTGCATATAACTCTATGGGAGACTAATAGTTTTTGAAATATGAAAATGAAAATTTTGAATTTTATTTGATGTTTATAGCTTAATGTCCTTTCAACAAATAAAACAACTATTGTGATTTTTTTTGGTTGAATAATAGCACAATTTCCTGAAAATATTGTCAAAACACAATTAACCTTTGTGTTTTTTTTTTTGTTTGTTTTGTTTTTTTGTTTTGTTTAGTTTGTTTGTTGTTGTTTTTTTTTTTTATGCTGACAGAGAAGGCATTGAACTTTGTCTCAGTTTCTCTTTTATGTGGATAAGACACCCTAAAGAGTCCTATTATTATTATTTATTGACCTAGTTTAGATCTGGAGGGACTCAGAAAGCTAAATCTTCTCTATTTGTTATTTGGTGTTAAACCTTCAAAAGCACTAAACCAATAATTTAATAAATAGCACTGGTTATTTTATTTGCATGACAACTGAACCATCAGCATAACCAACTTCATTATCAACTTGTTTTGAAATAGAAACCGAAACAAAACTAAATCTTTCAAACATGTCACTCTGCTTACAGGACTGTATAAAAGACAGAAGCTTTGTTGTGTAATTTTTGCAGGTTTGTTGTTTCATGTAATGTCTTGTGCATCTGGAGAAATCAACGCTAAAGCCTGATGCATTTTTTCACATTGGTCAGAGAATTATTTAAAGGTGAGGAAATTAATTTGTTTTGTTTTAATAGTGTACTGTACAACTGAAGTATTATAAAAAATGACAAACGATGTTCATATATTCATGTTCTACATCCTATTTATAGGATTTCATTTCTACTGTTTGCAGTTTTCTACTGTTTATTGTAACATTCATGTCATGACAACATCTGCATAATGGCTGGTTGCTGTGACAGTATATTAGAATCTGAAGAAGAGGTAGACATCATACACCAAGTCACAGTATTAAGATATTGCTATGAAGATGTGTATAATCATTTGTATTTTTGTTTTCACAGGATTTTTATGCAAGTCAACTTGATGAAAGTGAGGAGATATATTTTGATTCCAACCAAAACTGTTCTGTTACTAGTTCTTCAGTGTTTTATTGCTATAGGACACCAGACTTACATATCTTTTTAATTACAGTCAGGCCCTCATTGCTCCCACCAGACTCTGATACAGAACCAGTTTCCTTGAAATCTGATAATTTTTCAGACACACGCGACCTTGTGTGTAATGCAGGTAAAGACACTACAAAATTATCATCAGAAATATTCAATATACTCAAAATAAATTGATAATTTCTAGAATATCATAGCTACTAGATATTTGTAGATATAGATTGCAATCACATTCTGTCATTTATAACTGTCACTTTTTGAAAAATGAAAATGAAAATCCGCAGAAGCTTATAATTATTTGCGGTTAATGAAGTCCTTTCAACAAACAACTATGGGTGTTTTGGGTTGAATAATGGCACCACTTTCCGAAAATATTATCATAACATAACATAACAACATAACAACAACAGTGTTTGTTGTGTTTCACATGGGTAGGTCCAGTATTTACATTATTAACCATAAACAAACAACAAACACAAATGCAGTTGTACCATAGAATTTT